GAATTCACAGAATCAAGACAAGTGATTCAGAAATGGAGCGATTAGGTAAGAGAACTGTAACAGAAAGATGTGAAATAATGAAGGCTATGTGAGCAAAGAGTAACAGAAACTAGGAGTCAGACAGAAGGCTGACAGGTTGAACTGCAATATACACTGCAGTATGAAAGAGACAGAAGCAGACAAAAGACAAACAGGGGAATGGGGAAAATGAATAACAGCTTTGTCACAGTGTGAGGAGAAGGAGACGGTGATGTGACAGGATAAAAACTGACTTAGAGATTAAAGAGAATGAAGGGTTAAAGATTACGTCTAAAGAAGAGGATGAAACAGGAAAAGATGGGAGACACAGGCAAAGTGTGTGACGCATAGGTAATGGTGAATAAAGGGATAACACAAACAGACACACACAAGTGTTTACTTGTGTGTGTCTGTTTGATTATTGAGGCTGAGGGACAGAGAGCATGGGAAGGGGTGAAAAGCTGCAGCAGCCACACCCTCTTTGTCTCTGCATTTGACACTGAATGATATAGACCCTGTGCAGGACAGATAAGGGGGGAAAAACACAAAACCACAAGAAAAAAAAAAAACATTAAATAGGTATAATTATGGGAAACAAACAAACAATAAAATCCTAACACTTCCAGCCTCTTAGGGTGTATTAATGTTAATCCCTCTTTGTTTTTGTTGTGGCATTCACACTATGTGACTGATCGGTGACAGAGGGTCACACGCTACACAAGCTGACAAGGACTCTGTCACCCGACAACTGGTCTCCAAACCACGTTTTGTCAAGAAAACACACGTGAAATGTGAAACAGGAAATGACGCGAACCTACACACAAAACAGTTTGTTATTATAAAAGATACCAATTATAAAGACAAAAAAATATGGGTGAAAGAATGGATTAGCACATGCAGGTTGCAGGGATTGTCTGCGCTACAGAGAGCTGGAGGTGTAGTAAAAAAGTAGCTGCCAAAGTAAATCACACTATTATCTGCTGTAAACTAACCATGCTGCCCTTATGACAAATTTGCTAAAGCTCCACACTAATATATGACCAGAATTCATTTCTAAAAAGAGAACATACTTGGGGCTTTAGGGTCCGGGAAACTTTGAGTAAAAACACACAAGTCTCTAGTGAGACACACTCACCTGTGTCAGCAGTGACGGTCACACCTCTGAGTAGACACTGCACAGCAGCCGACCACTTCTCAGCTTCAGGCCTGCTTTCAGCCAGGTAGGCCCTCACCTGCCTGCGCCTAGAGACCCCTTTCCGTCGTTTGCCTGGTGGGTACCAATACAGCACCAGGAGAGGGGGTGCAGGGGCACGAGGGCAACTGCACCCCACCAGCTCTGATAAAGGCAGCAGGAGACGGGCTTCCTTCCCCATCCGTGGTGACAGACGCTGGATATGTATGTGGGTGTGTGTGAGGGTCAAGGCATAGTTGGAGGCCGGAGCCGGAGTAGGAGAAGCAGCAGGGGAGAGCCCCCCTGGACCACCAGGGCTGTTGGGGCAGCTGTTATTGTTGCTGTTGCTGCCGGATCCCCAGCTGGCAAACTGGCCATGAAGTAGGGCTTCTGCAGTGGAAGGTGAAGAAGGTTCTGGAGATCGCATCCTCACTGCTGAAGTGGACACGGTTTGTCAGGAAAAAAGTCAGTCTATTAAGTATCTTCTACAGCTAGAAGCTTGAAGAGTGGAACTTGGCTACTGTTCAAGATTTGCAGGGAAAATCTGAATGTCAGTATGAGAACTTTATCCCTGAAATCTCCTCAAGATCATCCTCCCGTTTCAGTGACTGAATTAGAATCAGCTCTGAGTTTCTGTTCCGATCTGTCCATTTCATAAGTACGTCTTTATTTGAAAAGAAACATTTACTTCTTCCAGTTTAAAGGTTCTTCTGTTCTGAGTATGTATCCAGTGAAAATGGGAACTTCAAAAGACCAGTCTTCGTGTCACATTAATAAAGCTCCCATCACAGTTTGATCTGAAGAGCTGTCAGCTTCTACAGTTTACTGCCAGTGGAAAAGTGAATAAGCAATACATCAACATATTCAAAGACAACAGCACTTAAAAAAAATTATATTTTCCACTACAAGATCAGTCATTAAAAAAAGTGTTCTTCACAAAGATTGCCTAAGTAAAATAAAATTGTTTACTTTACAACTGAACGCTACCTATTGTGATAACAACATTAGGCAGCTGAGCAGCTACTCAACATTAACAATACATCTTTAAATAATTATGCAAATGAACAAAAACCGAAACGCTTAGTTGCATTGAAAAAAACAGATCCATTAAGTATTAATAAGACAAACAAACACCTTGTTTCTACAAGGAGGCTACAACAATTAAATTAAATTTAACGCACAAGTAAATTCTAAGTCGAGTACGGTGCATGGTAAGTGCTGGCCGAAATGATTTTAATGCCACAAAGATATGATAAGTGCAGGCTTTTTCAAGACCTTTGATACCTCTATTGCTATATTTAATCTCAGTGATATATAGGAGGCAGACAAGAGGAGAGACTAGTTCGGTCCTCTAGACAGTAGTGTGATACATTAAAGTTTCATCCAAACAAATAATCCTGCACCCTAGGTAAGACAGGTGGAGACTAGACAACGAAAAAATAAAAAAATAAAATAAAAACAGAAACAAAACAAAAGACAAACAATGAGACAGTTCCAGGTGGGTCCTTAGTTTATGTCATGGTAATGTCCTAGAGTCAAGCCTCACGTTCCCTCCCGAAGATCTCTGTTCCTGAACGACGAAAAAAAGAAGGAGAGGAGGACCACAATCAATTGTAAAAGTGGAAAAACTATGGCAGAACTATGGGTGATCCACCTAAAAGAATTTCTAGAGCAGAGGAGTAACACATTGACATTAAAGAAGGAAGCATATTAAACAAAATAAATGTTATGTAACTGTGCCTCTAATTCAACAGGCATAACACTGTGCAAAGGTGAACATTTCCATATCATTTCACAATTAGAGTAACACAAGTACAGAGAAGACGGGAAGAGATTACGGTTACAGGGTGAAGCAATACAAGACCCACCATACCCCTTGACCTTAGGTGTGTCATTGCACATAATGACTCACAGTCACACATCCTCTAGACACCACACGCTGAGACACCACATTATTTTGGATGAAAAGTTGCATGAGAGTGACCACATCTGGTTGGTATTTTTATGTTTAGGGCTTTTGTCTAACAGGATTTGGGGAAACAGTGTTTCTTTCACTAGGATTGAGATTTAGCAAATTGCTGACCTGAATGGTCCTGGATTTAAGAGGTTTTGCAATATGCATTAGTATGTAACAATCTCAAAAAATCCTCAATAGAGAAATACATTCATTATGAGAAACTTGGAACTGGAAAATGATTTTGACTTGTTTTATGATTTCTAGAGATGACAGGTTACATTAATGCTAAAGCTGCTAGTCAGCAGGGTCCAACTAAGTAGACTTAGACGTGCGTCAAAGTACAATTACTGGGCTATCACCAGACTACGGTAAATCCCTAAATTAATAATCTGGTATTCATAAACTGGCATAACTTTCTTTTAAAGTTTTACAGACAGGAAATATTACGCAAGCTGTGGTGCAGACAAAATCAATACTTGGCTGATGTCCTGTCTTGATAAAAAAAACACAAAAGGGACCTCACTGATGCCCATTGTTGCACCTTACCTCATTGAAGTGCAGGGCGGGGACACCCAGAAATAATATCAGTGGGCTAATTTTGTCTCCCACACAATGAGGCTGTTGTTGAGTGACTTCGGGGTATTTTGGGCAAATTTCGGCTAGCTTATACTTTGAACTCAATGGCATTCCCATTCTAATGGCACGGCTACACCCTTTACAGCAGCGTTGATAACTTGTCAACCCTGCTGATCTGAAGTAAAAGCTACGTTTGATTATTAAACTTTACCGATGTCTTCCACCTAACGTTAGCTAGCAGGTTGACAGGCTGTTAGCCAAGCTGACTTATTTAACTATTGCTTTGTTTTAACAGTTACAAGCTGAAGACTCATTTACATAAATATTGACGTATTATATTAACAGTGATTATCAAGAAGCAGAAAGTGTTTCAAGTTGTAGTTGGGGTATTAATCCTAACGTTAAATCAAGGAGACAGCAAATGCTAGCTTGTTATGAATACAGTGGCTAACTGTTACTGTAACGTTACACTGCTGCCAGACAAATGCAACACAGCGTTGTCAGTTAGCAGTGGCTACCAGTTTGCTACCTGACGTGTAGCCCAACTTCAAGCTAACTTTCTAGCCTATTAAAACTTTGCTCTCTTGAAAATTACTGGGTATCACAATGGCTATGCTGAAAGGCTCCCATTTGATCTTTAACGTCTCATTTATGGCTCGCATTAAAAACGAAGCCAAGTTAGCGCAGATAACAGTAGAAGGCACGGCTAGCTAACAGGCGTTATGAGCCGATTCTATCACAGTGACACAATTTGTAACTTTCTGTTTTTCACAGTTGTTCGCCAGCATAGGATTAGGAAGATCCAACTTTAAATATAAATTTATCAAAGCGAAACAGTCCAAATTACCTCATCTTGCCTCCCCTCTCACGACGAGTTAGTCGCTTGCACTGAAAACTGTGGCTCGGTGCAGGAAGTGCCCGGGGACGCAGTAGCCGCTGCTTTGAGCGGCGGAGAGGAAATCCAATGGCGATAAGGAAAACATTGCAACACCCACCGACATTCTCCAATCATTGACAGACCACCCCTTCCTGGCCAACTTACCCCCCCCCCCCCTTGGCCAACTCGTATAGATACCAATCAAAATATTCGTCAAGTCAGATGTACTGTACAACCTCAGGGAGGCTTTAAATGGACATAAATGATGTAAAAAGGGATCAACCTTGTAAATTCATTTGTTTTAGCTATATCCCCATGTACTGCCCCATGTTACAACAAAATAGGGACAGGTGTATTTGCAAGGGTGTCTAAAAGCAGTCCAACAAAACACAAAAGGCAACTCATTTTTGTACAGTCTATCTTTTATTCGTATCAGATTGCATGGAAAACAAAGACACAGACTAGTTCTTGTAGCCACGGCTGGCTCTGCGGCCACGAGCTCTCTCGAACTTCCTGCCCTTGGAGCGGATGTAGGGCCTGAAGAAGAGAAAGGATAGTTTAGTATAAGATGATGGCACCACAAACCCAACATTCATATAAAATACATGTGCATACTGGAGCTTAACTTTCTTAATTTTCTCTCCATCAACGCTGCCTTACAAATGACCACAAAGCCGACCTTTCGCTCACTAAAATGGTTTTAGGGTCATATTTAAACACTAAAAAATTCCCCACGAGTGCCAACTACTCATTCATTTCTAGGTGCTGGTATTGTGCGTGACGGCCTACTGGGACCCTTGAATTTAACCATTAATGTTATTAGTAAAATTTTCCTACCAAGACAAGTCAAAATGTCTTCTGTGAAAAGACCCATTATTTCCAAAGTTAATCCATCTACCTACCTCCGCAAACCACACTAACTGTATGACGCCAATCTGAAGAGCAAAATACATTGTGTGTTTTTTGGTGGTTTTAGGTTCATACCTTTTATCGATAATTCACCAAAACAAAGGCAGTTCATTAACATATTGACCAAAATATTAGACAACCATTGTAACTAAGGCTTTAACCCCCAGCTCCTTTTATACACAGTCTTTTTGAAGCTAAACCGATTAAAACAAGGAAGCCAGATATACCATATTTGACACAAATCAGTCTGGTATATCTATTTTTATCATCTCCAAGAGAGAAAGTGTAACCCGCATTAAATCAACTATCAACACTCGTGAGGATAGTGGAGTTATTTCCAGGTAACTGATGACTGACAACTATCATCTTGATTTCCTCAACTAGAGAGACAGACAAAGAGAGACAGAGGGATGGAGAGAAAACCAAGGCAGGCCAAGATGAAGGGAAAGACAGACGAGACAACACACAGTGTGTGAGAGAAAAACAGCTTAAAAGTCAGTTAATGATGAAAGTGTAATTAAAACTTAAACAACAATTTCCAATAGAAAAACATTCTTATGTTCGGGCCAATTTAGTACCCAGGCATCAGACTGATCTAAATACTGGTACAACAACAACATCCTTAATCAACACTGTGTTGTTTTTGACAACAGTATCAACACATCAACTGTATACATACTTGGTGTGGCTGTGAGGAGTTCCAGGGGCTTTTCCAAAGTGCCTGTACACCTCTCGTCCTTTGCGGGGTCCTGGACAACAAATACGTTATAGATTAAAAGCAGTTTCAAATGCTATACAGCCTCTCAAAAACACATTCCTAGTAGTAAAGTATTCCCACTTCCATTCATTATCTGAATTCTAACATTACAAGAATAAAAAAAAAAAATATTCTTTGCACATTTGCTTTAAGTTTTGTTTAGACAGACCTGAAGAGTGACCGACAATGTTTGACTTTGGATGACTATATTGTAAATAACCTGATGCTGAGCGAAAAGTATTATTTCCATTTGCTTCTTACCTATGATTAACCCCTTTGCAATTCTCCAACTGTATTTCTCACCTTTCTCGTGTTTCAGGGGAATATTTTTAGGCTTGTAAAAATGTGTTTTAACAATACAATGGTTGGACATCAAACACCACATTCCCCTTCTTCTCTTGCACTGATAATAGAGGGATTCATTCATTAGCAGAAAAACAGCACTAAAAGGTTAACTACCACAAAACTCACAGCAGCATGTGACGCCATGAGTTTCCAGCATTTGTCAATACCTTGACTAAAGAGAAGCCTGCCATACAAAACAGTCTGTCAAATTCAGGTGAATAGCACTCAATACCAACCAACTGTCCACAAAGCTTACACATGATTAAAGAGAAATAAAAATATCTGGTGATCAACCATCAACAATCAGGCCAGAATACAGATGTAAACCAGCTTTCCTAATTCAAGCAGTATTCTATCTATAGTATTGCAACTAGGGCTGCAGCTAACGATGATTTTAGTATTCGAAGCTTCTACACATTATTTCAACGATTCATCAATGCGTCGGTTAAGAAGTACTTCTGCTTGGCGGCTCGCAAGCCTTTGGTATAACACGAGTGCAGACTTTCACGACTTTCAGCATCAGCCGATGGCTGTGCCGTTCACACTACACAACTTGCTGTCTTCCTTATAAAAACATGAACTGTAACTATATAATTCTTGTAATAAAAACAAACAAAAAAACAACTTGCTGTCATGTGACGGGAGTCATACTAAATGAGCTCACAGCGGCTCTGTCACCCGACGCAGATCTCCAAACCACATTTTGTCAAGGAAACACGTGAAATAAGCGATCCTGAACACGAAACAGCTGTTTATTATGAAGATGGCCATTATAAAGACAAAGAATATGGGTGAAAGGATGGATTAGCACACGCAGGTACCAGGGATTGTCTTAGTTACAGAGAGCTGGAGTTGAGTTACAAGGTGCAGCTCCCCGACACCCAATTAACTCTTGACTGTGACGTTACAACCCACGGCCCAAAAAGGACAACAACAAACGCACGTGTTTACATTTTCAGCGGAGGACTGCGGTTTACTCTGGCTAGTGTTCAACTCAACAATCAATCATGATTTCAGTTAAATGCTGAAGTTGCTGTAACCTTGTCTGTGGTCCGCAGGCAGAACACCAGGTGCTTTCTGATCAGATGCTGTCGTGCTGTTGCCAGGGCAACATAAGTTTCGTTTTACGGTGGACGGACTGCAACATTATAGTTGTTTTGTTTTCTCTAGCTTGAAATAATCCCATACTTTGGACACTTTATTCTTTGTCCCTTGCTATTTTCTCTCTTCCTCCACTTTGCAAAAAGCGCCATTATAATCATGTCGTGTTCACAGCGTAAGCGCGATGTGCGACAGTAATAAATGTCCGTGTGAAACAATGTGCTGTATAGTTATGATTAAACAAAGCATTGACGCAAAGAATTTTCGTCGATGCATTTCATTAATTGATGAATCGTTTCAGCCTCAATTGCAACAAACTAAGTTCTCTCACAACATCATAAATGAACTCCACTCAGCCACACCAGACAACAGTAGTCTGGTGTACATTACTGTTATAAGCCTCCTTAAATCAACTAAAACATACTAGTGTGAAATTACAATAAGTGCATGAATTAAAGACGGTTCTCTAATCTCATCTTTGCAGACATTTATCTAAAGTACCAAGAATTGCCACGAGTGTCATTTAAAATAGTTGCCCCTAACAGCAATGTTAATAGTTAAACTCAACTGACTAAGCTTGAGTTCACATCTGGTGGTCAAGGTGCCCGAGCACCATGAAGACATTGAATGATTATTTTATCTACTCCAATTGCATAATTATAGTAGAATGTGAATTGAAATCTACATGTTCAGTTACCTGACAGCAGCACTGTGCCCTGTCCTTTTGGAGAAGCCAAAGCCAGCTGGTCAAAGGTCATCACCTGACCACCTGACTTCAGGATCTTGCGGCGGGCACCATCAGTGACCCTCAGAGCACAGATCTGTAGGACAATAAACAGGTCATGAGGACATCTTAATGGGAAACAAGAAAACGCTAACAGGTGAATTGTGCAACTATTAAAAGCAGGGGTAACCTTGAGCTTGGGGATATCCTGAATCCTGACATCATCAGTGACTGTTCCCACAACAACAGCGGTTCTGTTTTCACGGCCAGCCATCTTCATCTTCCGGATCTGGTCGTAATGGAAGAAAAGTCACAAATTGAGTCAGATGATCACATGTCTAAAGAACTGACAACAGGGCTCACATTTTCATCACTACTTTTCCTGGTATTACACTGTTCATAAGATTGGTGGTAAATGGTTAATATGGATAACAATTTTCTTGACCCACAGTTCAACTTCCTTAATTCATTTCTCAAACACTTCCAATGTCAGTGAATAAAAACTAAATTGAGCCAAATGGGAATCAACACTGACCAACATCACCCCAAAATTCAGAGCCACTGGAAAGAAGAACCGGCTCCACAAACACAACTGATGCATCAAATTCCAACCTTTTCTCTATAGAAACCTCAAATCCGTATCTACCCACCCCAACTATTCAACTGATACCAGTGATCTTTCTCCCGATTTTAAATTCAGTTTACCTCACTGCGCACTCACTGGATCATTTTTAAGAAAAGGTCACATGAGGCCATGGTACTAAGTGATCAGCCCACTGCGAGTGAATGAGTGAAACAGCAAACCATCATGCCATCAATGTCAGTATCAACTGACACTGACCTATAAATGTACTGTCAAAAAATGTATTCCAGTCCCAAAAGATGGTGACATGCGATATTTATATTACAACTGGCTCAAACACTTAACATATCTAAAAAGTCAAAAGGATGATTCATTAGTGGTGGACAGAGTGAGACAACTGAGACTGACCAGACGGGAGATGGAGATGGGTGGCCTGTTGGTCCTGCTCATGAAGAGCCTCCTCAGGACGACCTTGTTGAAGGGAGCATTAGAACGGCGGGCCAGGAACCTGTACAACTGCCAAGAACCCAGCAGGATGGTTAGAATATCATGCACAATAACATCAAGTTATCAACTCAAAATCTAATGTGGCATAAGTAATTGCAACCACTTAGTAAAGCATAATGAGTGAATGTAAATTACCTTGACCAGGAGCCTCAGATAAATATCCTGGCTCTTTGGTTCTTTCCTGTGCACCTTACGGTCCTTGTTATGTCTGATGTCAACTCCCTTTAAAAAGCAAATAAACACAATGTAATACATTATCACAGCTGTAAGGTTAAATGTATTCCAAAGCAGTGTGTATGACACCTATGACATCAATTACATCCTGGTTATATTGTACAATCAAGTTCAAAAGTATCAAACCGCATTTCACAACATTAAACTCCTGGTACCATTCATATTTCTAACAACTACATCCCTTTAGTGACCTTAACAAGCAGCTCAACGTGTAGCGCCACGGGCCAGTTCACACGTTGACACTCCACAGCTAACTGCTATCACGAGCGATACAAAAAAAACAAGCCTACAGTTTAGAGTATGGCTGAGTTTTGATATTTGGGAACACACGTTAAATTTTGGGGAATATAAATTACCGTTAAATAAATTATTCCGCATTCTCAACCACTCTGAAAGTCAGTTTCTGATTAATCTCAAGGCGAGAATCGGCTGCCTGGACGGCACTAGTCCGGCACCAAAGAGAGTAAGCTGGTACGATTTATATTGTCAAATAACACGAAATCAACATATAACTGCAACGTAAATGATGTTTTAAATCTGTAACGATTGGCATTATGAAGGTGATATGCTTTAATTCAGAGGATGATCGTGGATAGTCAAGCTTTCGTATTTAAAATTTTCTGCTAGCTGTACCTACCATCTTGGACACAGCGAAAAGGGAAAAGGAAGAGCTGAGGTCTCGCGATAAACTGTGAGCTACAATCTCGGGTCTCTGATTGGTTACAGAGCATGCGCTTCCTGCATACCAACTGTGATGATTAAGGATGGTGCCTCTGGCGGTGAAGACGAGAAAGAAAGGCACGATTTCTAGTTTATTACTGATTTAATGGCTAATGTTGATTTATTTTATGCATTTGATTCTGTTTGGGTTGTAAGTTATGATTGAAAAACTGATTTCATTCATATTTACTTTTAGGCTATTTGTTGTTAGTGAAAATATTGCAGTGCTCAAACTCTGCACTGGCTGTTTAAAGTTCATAAAATTAGTGGTTATAAAACGGCAGATTTTGCAGCACTTTATTCAATGTAAAAGGTTGCTGTATTTTCACCTCTTTGTTATGTGGATGAAGCCTATTGAAATCTAATCTCTCTTTCAAGGGAGACCTGACCAAGATAGGCAACATTGACACACATTAAAACACTTATATGTAGGTACACTTAAAGAATCTAGCCTATGGGAAACATCAACACTTCTCCTTAAGGACATCTGCAACTAGGCACTTGAACTTGAAGTGGTACCTGCACCCAATCATTTTCATACAGTTCCCAATTAGATTAACTTTTTGCAATCTTACAAAGAAGTCAAATAAATTTTTATTTAGAACACACAAACAATTTACTGTGTACTTAATATTAAATACAGATTGCACTTGCCATAATTTTCAGACACTTTCTAAAAAATATGGTCAGTTTGAGAATGTATATGACAAAATTAACTTAACTTTACATGATTGTACAGTTTGAAAATGTTTAAAATGAAAAAACATCTGAAAGAGCCTTTTTTAACTTAGAGGTTACAAATGTATAGCAATATCAACAAAGTTTTTCCAGTATGACACAGTGAAACAAGTGTGCCAGTTAATTGAGGTTTAACAGCTCTGTTGTTCTCTATGTTCACAGAGGAGAAAAGATTACACCATAATCTGTAATTTACATTTGCATATGTTATTTAGGAATACTCCCCTGTTTCCTCAGTAAATCTAACAACTATGCAACTGAATCCTGCCCTGAAAAAGCATCCTTTGTCAGTATATGTTATTTTCAAATAAGTTGCACACAAAAAGAAATCTCTTAAATTCAAAACAACAGTCATTTAGTACAAAAACTTGCATCTGGGAGCCAAGGATCTCAGGTTTATTCAAGTTTGTGGTCCTGCTGCTGTCTAAGGTGACACAGGAAGATTGTGAAAACCAGTGCAATGCCTCCCAGAAACACTGTCCGTGCCACAGGGGGGATCAGGGCAAAGTTCACTCCCTGAGATAGTGGAAGAGATGAAACAAATGCACACGTCATTCTACATCAGTATATGTACTGTATGTACAGTATATGTATGTCTATGAATCTGTGTGTGAGAATATCTCACCTGCATTGTTGACCAAAATACTACTCCAATCTAAAGAATGGGCCAGAAGATAGATTTATAGATCAATAAAGAGACAGAGAGATTTATTGCATGGCATCTTAGTAACAAATAGTTTAATAAGGGCAGCCTTTGCCTGTATACAATATGTACCTTGTAAGATGTCCAGAATTTCTGTCTCCAGTCTTCAAGCAGATCGTCTTTGTGTTCTAGTAAACTTAAACCTAAAAGGTAGAGGGGGCTGTTAAATGTTTTACTGATTATAAGTAGGATCCGCCATTAGAAATACATGTTGTGTGGAAAAGCATTCTCCAAACCCACTTTATTTAAGATTCCACCAATGTCATAACCTCAGAATTTGGGATTTATTTTAAGTCATTTTATGTGGTAACAATCAGTGACACTGACCACTGGCACCAAATTACTTATAATAAATACAGCAGTGAGGACATTCCCATTGTTTGTCGGAGGAAGCCATCCTGAGCCCGATTAATGACTTACTGAGCCCTGCCACATTAAGAAGCCACCGTCTCTCAGCTCTGTTACAGGAGATTTTTTACTACTGAAATCTTTGCATTGTTACAGTCTTTGCTAAATTTTCAATTACAATAAGGTGTCCTTGTAATTGTTGAATTATTCTAGAAGTCAGACATTTTCTTCTGGAGTCAACAAAGCTGAGCTGTTTGATGCACAGTAGGCCATGTTTTTTAGTTTGAGTTTTCAGTCAAAGTTTCATTTTACCCAGAATTCATGGAAATGTATCCTTACTTACGATAGAAGAACTAAACCGCTTTGTGCAATGGATTGATTTAGACACTGTCTGTCCAAATTCTGACCATCAGTTTGATTTAAGGCGATTTAAGAGGAAATTACAGACCCATAAAATAAAGTAGTACCAGAATGTTTTATCTAACTTCTGTAAATGTGTAAATGGAAAATAAAGGGGGCTGAAAATTAAATGATAAACCTGCAACTGTTGAGAATACTAGGGTTTAAGAAAATCCCAGCAGCACAACAGACATAGACATCACTTATCAATTAGAAGTCTCAAACAGAGCCAAACATAGTTATTAAGAATAAGCACCATGATTTAAATAGGCTTAGTGACATGCTTACCAATATAAAAGGCACTGATGGTGAGAGGAGCTGCGATCAGCTGATCCACCACAACTTTAGTTGTTACTGCTTTTACTCCGCCTCCCGGCAGCATCCTCTCCAGCCCTCTGAGCCAGTGGTAGTTGAAGTTTGCATGGAAACAGAAGCCGACAGTCGCCACTCGTGCCGTCTGACACCAGTCGATGCCGCCTGGATCCTCTGACGTGGATTGTGCATTGTCTTTCCTACCCAGCACGCTCTGTTGTATGATGTCAGCAGAGGCAAACAGCGTTGTGTATCCCAGGACGTTACTGATGTACGGATGGGCCTTGAACACAGCCCAGGCCCGGTTCATGGTGGAAAATCTGATCAGTGAGAGGATTAAAGGTGAATTCATTTATAATAAAGCCCACAAATATGACTGCATTTTTAAAGTGAGGAAGGCTTTTAAATAAATCTTAAAGTAAAATGGATGTTAAGGAAATTAAGCATAATAATATTAATGATAGTTAAAATCATATGACATGATGTACATCTCTAATTAATGTTGCTCATACTGAAAATGATAATTGTTGTGTCTTGAACCACTCTACTGTAAGGTTCTGTCCATGGCTTTCTAATCCAAGAAGTAGTTAAACCTACCTTTCAGCGAAGCTCAACTGACCCTCTCCTCAAATTTCCAAAGCCAAAAAGCCACAAGCTCTTTTCCAATTGGATCTGTTGGACAAGAGGTGGAGAAGGAGGTGGAGCTGAGATGAAGGTCTTCTCACCAGGTCAAAGTTCTGCCACTGTTGCAGATAATGTGTGATAAGACCTTTATGAGTCCCCTGGAGAATAATCTGAGAAAATACCACATGTGAGGAATGGTAAAGAAGTGACTGACACAGCAATATTCTGCAGCAGACAGTAGAGACTTTATCAGAAACACATGTCAATCTATTATACTGAATTTATGCACATGTGGACCTCATATAATTGACTGAAGCTTGCCATTAGCAGCGTAGATGAACCCATTGCACACACTGTTTTCACAATACTGTCTGACTGATTATACCTCTTATGTCTTGTCACTTGAGTACTTTTCCCTAACGTCTGTGTAGAACAGTAAATGGCACTTACAGCAGATTGTTCTCACTTGTTGAAGTGTTGTAGTTGAGCCACAGCAGAATGTTAGCTGTTCAGCTCATTGCTCAGAGGCACATGTGGCGTCACTATAAATAGATACTCCCACAGCAGTGCTTCCTTGCTTTGAGTGAGGAGGTGCCACAAGATAAAATGTTCATTTCCTTATAGGGTAAAGAAAGTTGTTTCATTAAAGAGACCAGAAAGATGCTGATCTTTATTTTTATTTTTTTTTGCACTACACTGGGCATGTAATTTCTCATGTAAATAAATGAACAGATCTTTCGCAAAAAAGAAAGATAATAGAGAAAAAGAAATTGCTGATCCTCCAGAAAAAGATTGTGCAGGAAATGTTGATCCATCTTTTGAGAGTTACCGCATGACATTATTGTGTTCTTTGTTGGCAATGTCACATGTTGCTGTTTCCAGATTTGAAAAAAAATATAGCAATAAAAAAAGAAAGTTAAACAGTAAGAAAAAGTAAGAAATAAGAAATGTAAGAAGAAACATAAAACTATATCTCCATGGCATACTGGATATAAGGAAAGAAATCAGACTCTGGATGTCAGGATGGGGTCTTTTTAAATATCCACAGCTAAAAGTAAAAATTAAAACTTGGATTTTATTTTTATTCCTCTGCATCTCTTGCTGTCTCCCATCTTTGTGAAAAGGACAGCCTCTATTCACCCACCTGCTGCCATAGATATGCAAAATTCTGTACTTGGAAGGTGTGCTATTGAATTGAAAAGGTCAATTAAAGCCACTAGCAACCAGCTTAGCTCTTCCATCTGAGAATGTGATAATTAGGCGCCAGAATTTAAGCTGATCAATTAAGGGCTTGTTAACTGCCTCAACTGGTGTGTTTGTGTCTACCAGTATTTAACAAGCTGCCTTTAGTGTGGCACACAATGAAGACGTGTGCCCACACCTCCACAAGCGGTTGACTTCTCATATAATTGCCTCTTTCTTTTCAGAGCCTCTCATCGTGTCTCACTTCCTCTCCCACTATCAATTTGTCAAGTTGGATTCCATTCATACTGCCAGGGAGAAATTTGTGCATTTGCATTGCGCTCTGATGTCACTTGACTTAATTTGCACACACAGACCCCACAATACATGTGCACACGTACATCAACAATGAAATTACACCACCTTTCTCTCAGAAGAAGCCCACCACCGTCAAAGCTGAGTCCTCAGTGCAGTTTGTAGGAAGAGACAACAAGACACACAGCAGCCTGAGGAGGAATAAGGTAAACATGATTTTCTGGATATTTTTCAATTGAGCTGAACAGAATGGAACAAAACTAGACATAATGTACACATGCTGGACTGTTGGGTAGATTGATAAACAAAAACAAAACACATCTTATTGTTTTTAAATGTAGCATTTGAAGCAGTTCAGGATATTTGATGAAGCTGATTCTTGGAATGTATCCACGTGTTTGAATGCGCTTATTTTATTGCTTAAGATTAAAGCGTCTGATAAATAAATGTAAGGGAGATTAACTTGTAGTAATGCATTTCACTCAGCGTACATATATAATAACTACATCTGCAGAGTAACTAGTAACTACAGCTGCTTTTTATTTGATTGAAAAATGTAATTACTCAAGTAGTTAAGTACAGTACTTAGTGTATTTAGTTCCATTGACAGTTCAATTTAAAATGAATAACATTTAAAAACTGATTTATTTTCAAGAGTGCTATCTTCATGTTATTAAAATGACATATTACATCTCTCAAATTGCAATTCACTTGATTGATCTGATTTCAACACATTAGAGCTCAGTGACATGACAGCTCCCTTGAATTACTCTTTTCTCACTTTTTTTTGTCTCATTTCTTTAACCCCTACACTCTCTCTTTTCAGCCATGCGACCATCCATCCCTGTGACTCTTGAACCCGGGTTGGAGCGAGGCGTCCCGTGGGGTCGTGACCTCTACACCTTTGTAACTTCAGCAGCAGGTCACATGATGAGGACTCTTCAGAAACCCCGGAAGAACCGACCGTCCAAACGGCAGGTCAACCACCGTCGCTTCCTGCACAACATGATTCAGAGGTGTGTTGGAGCATAAGAGAAGCACCTTTGTCAGCTGATATGAAAATGTAAAATTTTTCTTGCGGTATCTTAAGGCAGTGGTTGCCAAACCCAAATTTGAAGGCATCACCAGACAATAAGAGGGATAAGAAAGAAAAACATATTTCTGTTGAACAATATTGTATTTTAATATTTTGCTCAATTTTAGAATTTATTTCTGAAACTAGATACTTTTCACCTCTTTAGGCCTCTAAAAATTCTTGGCTACAGGTCACAGCTCTTGTCATGAGGGATCACGAGTAGACATTTCTTCATTTTAAAGGAAGAGTTAGATGAGAAGGTCGATACCACTCTGTTATTTGTAGACAACAGTAAATATAAAGATACAGTCAGTAGCCGGTTAGCTTAGCTCAGCACAACGACTTCAAAAAGTGGGAAACAGCTAGCCTGGCTCAAAATCACCATGAGGGTTCCAGGCAACCAGCGGGGACCCCGGAAAGTCATTGCACCTGGCCAAGAAATAGTCCTGCATGTAACCCCTCTGTAAAACCAGTGTGCTGTTTTTTTAATTGAATATTTTAATTTAGCCATGTTGTGAGAATATTTTATATGCCTAGCTTGTTTAGGATAATGTTTCACATGTTTATTATAATTATGTTTAAGGTATTTATTGAAAGATGGACACATTGAACTTGAAAGTGCAGATTTCTCGCTCCGCCTTATTTCTCTCATGCTGCGGCCTTCACATTTTCGTAGGAAGAGTTAATGTTTACCAACTGTGTGACTGTTTCATGCATATACATTGTTGCTAATATTAAGACAATGTCTTATTTCTGATTTCACATTTCAGTTTTATTTATTTAGAGGTGTTCTTCTTTCTTTAGAAGGGTTGTATTGTTTTCATATTGAATATGTGCAGAGATGGAGGTGGAGGTGGGTCTGACCCTAAGACCCAGAAGAGGAGAAGCAAAACAGGATATATCAATCAAAGTAATGCAGAGTTTGATGAGTTCTGCTCCCTGAGACCAGCTCAGATACACATGTGTTTGTATTTTCACTTGTTTGAAATGATCACTGAACTTGAGTTGATTTGAATTTACTGGAGTTATTGTCTCATTGAAGATTACTATTGCAACTGTAGAAGAACCACAATTCATCTAAATCTAAGTCACAGTTCCAAGAGAATAAAGTGTGAGAGTGAAGGCCTGTAAGGCCTCTGGCCTGGTTTGAGGGTTTTTATCTCCCACAGTATTAAACAAACAAGGTATAACATGTTGACTGTAGGTAGATTTTGTTATGTTTAGACAGAGCTAGGCTAGCTTTTTCTCAGTTTACAGACTTTGTGACAAATTAAGATAAGATAACCAGCTGCAGCTTTTAACCTACAGACATAAGAGTTGTATTGAGCTTCTCATCTAAGTCTTTGTAAGAAAGCAAACAAGCATTTTTCCCAAAATGTGAAACTATTGTTTTGAAATAACATGAGTTAAAATGGTCTGGAACTATTGTCTCAACGTATTTTGGAAACAACTGTCTCATTTGTCATCTGTCTCTCTCAGAAAGTTTGCAGACATAGAAGCAGCAAACCACCGGCTGACATCTACTCTGCATTTTAACGATGAGGATAAAAATCTATCCGCTCTGCCACCAGAGAAGCCAGAGACACTTGACCAGTCAGGTAGCCCCTCCCGAGGTAGTTATCTACAAGATCCAGATAAATGCAGTGTTCACACAGATGCAGATGGCATCACTAAGTCCAGGAGCAACGTCTCCATTGGCTCACATGCAACTGAAATCAGTGAAAAGAAGCAGCCAGACTCGGGACACCTTTGGAAACGACACCCCAAATCACAACCCGCCACCTGCGCCACTAGGAAAAGCAACCAGAGCAAAGGGAAACAGAAAAAAGGGAGCAGAAATCACAAAGTGGATGAATTCACATCCATGAGCTCCCCAAAGGGCATAAACTATTACAACTGGGCAGAGCTCTTTCATACTGAGTGTTACGACAATGAAACGCAGCTGAAGTCAGCCAACAACCTCTCAGAAGACTCTCAAACTACTCAACAGGACTTGGCTTTCATCCAGCTCAGCCAAAATGTGGACGTCTCTCCTTCCTTCTCTCCAGAGCTCTCTCCGTTGTCTCTTGACTCTTGCGACTTCTCGATCCAAATGTTCACAGACATCTCAACATGCACACCGGCCCAGAAGAATATTACTGACTTTTCAGAGAGTCAGTGGACAGATATTACGGATCTTTTCAGTGTTGGCAGTAAGGACTCAGGAGGCTTCATGGGCGTAGAGGCATATTTTGACAGTATCTGTGCATGCCAAGATGATGCTGGGCAGGACGTTGGCGCCAACGATGTTGGATTTGCAGATCAGTCAGATAGTCTCACAGAAACGATCTACAGCAACAGACCTGAGGTGGAGGATCTACACAGTGAGACAGGAGAGTATGGATACAGTTTTCATGGAGATCAGGAATTGACCATAAACCACTTCCAGAGTGTGCTGAGACGAAACGAGGACGCTCCAGGGACACAGTGTAACAATTTCAAGCCATCCCAAGGCACAGACATCATCCAAAACCAGCTCCCCACACCTATCAGCTACCACTACAGCGCCTCAGAGCTGCAGATGTACCAGCATCCTCAGGAAGAGAGTCCCTGTATGCTGATGAAATATGAAAATAACCCAAACTTTACACCATTTGAAGGTGTTGCTCAATCATTCTCTGTCCCACTTCGTAATCCTGAGCACTGTCCCATACCAACACTGCCGCACGAGGATGACTGGCTGTTCACTGATATCTTAAAGGACAGGAAGTCACCTGATTGCTAATGTGTCATGTTTTTATAGAGGTTTGTTACTTAGCAAATGTATGTGAATAGTTAATTAACAGTGATGCATGGATTCTGCTGTAAATGTTGAGGGGGCAGTGGAACAGTTTTTATTCAAAGCATTTCACAAGACTTTCATAGTCATTTATACTTTTTATGCAAATGTCAGCTGGAGGTATTCGGGTTAAATCTCAAGCAACTCATTTGTACTATGAAAAAGGAAACAAGCAACATACTGTATATGTGTATACCTTTATTTTATATGCCACAAAAATAACAGATTTTTTCAATCCTTTGTCAATTTCTCTAAGAAAATCTTTCATTCATCAAAGACTTGATGAGTCTTTTTTCATGGTTTACTCTGTTTCACGTCACACCCAAATCTTGTCTCTTCTTTAAGGGTGAATTAATTGCCAAGATCTTACTTAAATGAAGGTGTACTGGAAATACATGCTTATATAATTAAACTAAAAACATGTAAACAGGGACAGCAGTGTATCTCTGTTAAGTGTCAATTTCCAGCAAAATGACAGTCACAGATATTCTGTTCACTGTTCACATGTCTTATTGTGTTGTTATTGTTTATATGCTACAAACGATTTTCCACTTGAGGAAAAGGAAATCTGAACTGAACTGCATTTATAATCTATTAAACTACTTTGCTTGAGATTCAACTACAAATTAAAATTACATTTGACAGGCAGTAGATAATTATACATAAATAATATATATTCATATACAGTACAAACAAAATTTTATTTGCTCTCTTTTTGCACCAAATATTTTATATGTATATATGTTTAAGCTTTTAACTTTGACTTCAGCTGTGTGTGAGTCTCAATCTGTGTATTGATTACAGTGCCAAAGAATGAAATGTTAATGTTTAAAATGGTGACAGATAACCATGATGCCAGTAAACAACGATAAATGCTGTAATAATGCTAATAACTCCTGTTTTCTAGTGTGTGTGTTTGTGTGTAAGTACCAGTGATGGAGTAAGTTGCTTAAAAGTAAGTTAAAGTGGCAATACTGCAATATAAAAGTAATCCATTACAAATAAAAGTGCATTGAAAATGGCAAAGTACTTTGGCAAAATGTACTTAAAGTATTAAGTAAAAGTACTCATAATGCAGAATAAAAGTGAGTGTTATACTATTACAGTATATTTTTATTATTATAACTGATTAACGTGTAAGTAGCATTTTACAGTTGTAGCTCCATGAGGTGGAGCTAATTGTAAGTACTTTTTTTTTACACTGTTTTGTAGTTAAATCTATAAAAATGCATCATATTTTTATAAACTGATAATGATTTTTATGTGCAATCTCTAAAGTAATATGTCAGTTAAATGTAGTGGATTACAAAGTAAAATATTTCCCACTAATATGTATTGGAGTGGAAGTATAAAGTAGCATGAAATGGAAATACTTGAGTAGTAAGTACTAGAACGTCAAATTTGTACTTAGGTACAGTATTCAGGAAATGTCCTTAGTTACTGTCCACCACTGAAGAGTATGGGTGCATGCCCAGCATGTCATCTCAAAGAAACACACAGACACACAAAGATCAAAACCAATGACATATATTAAAGGTAACCCCAGTCAGATGTTTTATAATTACAGCATCATTAACAAAAAAGGCTAAAACAATAAAACACATTTTTCCAAAATGTCTTAAGTTGCACAGTAACCATAAACAAACACACAGAGAAAAATAACACCTTAAGAGAAGCACCGGCCTCGTCTCTTGCTACAGATGAACAGAACTCATCTGTTCTCGTTCCAGCAGTTTAATCCACCCTCATTCAGATTTTGGTCTATCAAGGCATGAACAGAGTCGCCACGTTTAGACGCTGATATGACATTCTGAGATGACAGACTGTATCCTGATGACAAGTGATGTCAACTCGTTTGGCTTAATGCTATGTCGGCCTCTTTGAGATAAATTACAACCCGACAAAGCAGACGTAACATAATGACAAGTCCAGTTGTGTTTATCTCCACTGGTAATGTGTAAAGTGCATTTACACAATATCTTAATAAACAAAGCTTCGAACACAAATCCTTTGCATATTGCTAAAACAAAATAATTGTACATACAGAAAACAAACAATAAAACCCTTTAATAGGGCATTAAATATATGTCGTCAGTAGTCAAACTCTTTCTTGACCCAAGTGGTTTGATCTTTATTCACCGGTCACCAACTGTGAATCATAGTGAACCTGGCGTGGAATAAAATATTTAAAACAGGTTAATATATGGATACACATAGGACATTAGGACGCGTTCACGCTTATTGTTCTTGTTTTGCCAGTGCAGATGTTAGCTTTGCATTGTTGTTTCATTAAAATATACACCTGTTAATTTAAATCAGAAGGAAGAAGAGGGAGCAGACAGCCCTGATTACCGACAACAACTGAACTGGCCCTGTGCGTATTTAACGGTAAACACCAACACGATCAGTAATCCTTTGCTATATAGTTTATATATAACCAGAATAAAAAGAAAACATTCAGAGCAAGTGCAGAAACAACATTTGTGATTTCAGCTACACAATCTTTATCTTTCTTTAGTTCCAATTGAAAGTTAAAGCGCCAGTGACATTCTTTCTGATTTAAGGGAATAGTTGTACATTTTGGGAAAAAGCCTTTTTGGATTTTTTTTTGTTGTGTTACTTTCACATCTGTACAATAAATTTGAAGCTACACCCAGAAGACAATGGGGGAAACAGGTAGCCTGGCCCTGCACGTTTTATTTTAGGTAGGTTTAATTTGTATAAAAAACTAAATGTAAAAACAACAATATGCAGTTTTATGGGGAGTTGTGTTCCAGACTATTTCTTGTCTGAGTGCAGTGACTTCCTGTAGTCTCTGCTTACTGTGTCTGGCCAAGACATAGTTCAGCTCGTAAAAACGCAACTCTGTTTTTTGTTTTCAAACATACAACATATAACAATATATTTTACCAAACTGATATGAAAGTGGTATCGATTTTCTCATCTAACTCTACGGAAGAAACTGACTTAGCAAATTCCCCATAATGTTAAACCATTCCTTTAAAGCGTAGCTATTTGTGTCTAATTCAAAAACTAGACATCACGTTAACTTCCTGGACAGGCAAACAGGTGCTGAAAAAGCTCATAAACAAAAATAAAATTGAAAAAAGACCATCGTCTTTTAAACAATAAATACAACATGCTGAGGAAAATGCAGATGTTTCACCTAAAGAGAAACATCTTTAAAACCAGGTTTGACAAAAAAAAAACATTGTCTGTTTCACAGCAGGGTCATCAAGCCGCTTGTGTTTGGTTGACACCACACACACACACACACACACACACACACACACACACATTTTAAGTTGATAGCTAGGTTAAAAAAAAGTCTACTTTCTGTTCTACTTGTTTCTTCATAAAAATTCATTCCTTACTCCCCATTGTCATTTTTTATCTAATACTACTAGTATCTGAAAATGCTTTGAGTCTCTTGCTCAGTTTTTCTAGAATCTTCTAAACAGGAACTGGGAGCAGAGACTGAGTTTATTCTACTTAGAATAACTCCAGTAGAGTCACTGGATGATAGCAGAAACCCTAAGCAGCCTCTACACTCCTGTCGTCTACTCTATTCTACAGTTACTCTACGTTTACTACTACTCCTGGTACTAAGTCCCTTTTTCTCATCCATACGCCCACCATTTGGTTAAACACAAAAGCTTTGTTTGATCAATAATTTACACAGTTACTCAATAAAAATCAAAATTACAATATACAAGATGCTTGTCAAAATAAAATGTGATGTGTTTATCAGTCTAAAACAAGAAAAAAAGATCCATTGTCACAATTTGTTCTGATTTAGATAAAAAGATCAATTAATACAGTTCTCCACAGGTTTGTAGTTATGCTGCTGCGGGAGACACTCAAGCTCAAACCAGTTCTCCACCAGAAAAGTTTTCCATGCAAATTCACCTCCGAGACCTGATACTGTGACGCTGACTGAAACAAGTCTGAACCATGAACGTAACCCAGTTCAGGCCAACGTCAGATTAACATGCTTCTCCACAAGACAGAGTTGTACAGAAAATAACCAGCGATCAATAACTTAAGTTCACATTTGATATAAATTATGCAAATTTCTGAAGAAATATGTGAAGACTTTAGTTTAAGAAACTATCTAATACTACCTACTGCTTTGTCTAACAACATACTGTGTCTAATCTAGAGAAAACAGACTTATCACTTAAAACAACTTTGTGCAGCTGTACTGCGTGTAGGCTGCTTTTTATGGTCAGTTATTTGTCTCTACAATTCTGACAAATGATATGAAAATTAGATCAATATGTTATGAAACTTACTGCAATACGTCCCAGTTTCTGATCAACCATTTCCAATAAAAGTTACACATTGGTTACTAATTGCCATTTCTCTTTTGGAAACTCACCCAAAATGTCTTCATATTATACTATTTTTCAGATGACTCAAAGTTTCTCATTTGTTTGTTTTTTTACTATGACTATGACATATGAAAATGTCAGAAATCACATTTGCACACGCTCGTAAAAAGAAGGTGAATTCTCTTCTCCATGTGTGTATTTGACGTCTCTTGTTGATACATTTAGATTGTTAGATACATTTTTCACAACACCTTTCTGAAAAGAGGTATTTTCACCGTCCAGCAGCCCTTTGTGAAATCAGATTGTATTTTCTCATCAAAGGCTTAATAAACATGGCTTAGATTTTAAATACCTATTAATGTAAAATACATGACCACCATGTTGCCTGCCTTCTACTTACTGTACAGCATCATAACATTAGTTGATAATAATTCACTTTCCCCATGGAACTCTGGGAGATGTAGTTTAGTTTCTCAGAAGTTTATTACAGAGATGTAATGTAGAAATTTCCAGTCTTTGCTATGTTGTTTTTTTTTACGTCGCAGTCTGTTACAAAATAAAAATCAATTCCAGATGCCTCTTTGTAAAATCTAATTTTTACACTTCTTCTGTTTTTTTAGTGAGGTTGTTTTATAGTAATAGCGCCTGATGTGTGCATCCTACATCGTTAACCTTTATAAACTACAGTGTTGTGATGTACTGTGTGCATGTTGCTCCTTCACCCCTGAGTTGTGGAGGCTCTGAGAGGCAGATGTGTGCGTGTGTTTGTGTGTACATTATGTGAGTCTATCTGCGCATCACTCTGTGGTGTTCACACTGTAGGGCGGCGGAGGGTCCAGGCTGTGTTCGGAGGAAGGAGTCGGGGTCCCTGGGAATCCAGAGGAAGGGGTCGGCGAGGCAGGGGGCTCCTCCGAGTCAGAGTTCTCCAACGAGAGGTCGTCGACAAGCGCTCTGCGTCCACGCATCGCCAGGGGCAAAGGAGCACGCCTGAACAAGAGGAGAGCGTTAGAGTTTGCTGGGAACCAGCTGGTTGCAGTGTGAGATGTTTTGTGAAGATACAAAGTGTTTTTTAGACTTTTTAGATTAAATGAAACATGAAATCCTTCCAAATAAATATGAATTTTAATTTCACAGACAGAATTATTTCCTCTGGCTGTTATCTTTTTTCAGACTGATCTTCATCGTTGTCTCGTATTTAGCCAATGCGGTAGATCAGCCATTTAAATACTTAAAACTAAGGCTGCTTCTCACAATAATTTTCACTATCTATTGATCCGTTTATATTATAGTATATATTATATAATCTGTGTATTTGTATTAATTAATTTTTCCACCTTAATAGTCAGAAAAGAGTTCAAAGTGATTGCTTGTTTTGCCTTTGTTTTATATCTTGGGAATATAAAACAGGCAAAACAAGCAATCACTTTGATCACACAAAAAGTAGCAAAATTTCACATTTTTAAAAGCAGGAAGCAGCACATGTTTGCTTTCAGTTTTGCTTGATAAATTACTTAAATGATTAATCAATTAGTAATTGATGGTCTTCAATTCATTTTCTGTCTAATGACAGTGCGATTCGTTGGAAGGAGAACAGCAGAACAGTTTGCAAACATGTTTAGCATGAAAGATTATCACTAAATCATCTAAATGACATGTTATGTAACTACAGATGAAATGCATAATAAAAAATATCCAACAGATGTACTATATGAACTGTACATGTACCCTTCCACACACAGACACACAAACGAATAATAAAAACATGACACACACAGTGACCTACTTATCTGGTCTCCATTCAGGGATGCTGAGTGTTGGTGTGACGGTGAGACAGATGGATAGTTTGTCAATGTTAGATGGACACAAACAGATGCAACGAAAAAACAAAGCAAAACAAATCATATCAAGTTAATGGCGGGGTTAAAAACAAACAAACAAAACAACAATAAATGATGATCATTAAAGACAGAAAAACACACGCACACACCCACACGTGTGGTTACCTGAGCTGGCTGCGGAGAGAGGTGATCTCTCGCGTCATACTCTGACCGCTGTCGGCAAGCTCCTCCAGCTCCCTCTGCAGCTTCCTCTTCTGGGCGTTGGAGCGAGAGTTCTCCTCCTCCACCTCCTCCAGCTGCCTCTTCAGCTGCTTCAGGCGGACCATCGACTTATCCAGCTGGAGGAAGGGGAGGGGGAAGAGGAGGAAAAAGGACAGGGCGTATAGCAGAGGCCGGGGTGAGACGCAGAAGAGAAGAGAAGAGAAGGGGACGGGTGTATAAAAAGAGATTAGTCTGGGAGCAGGAGGACTGATAGGGATCAGGAGTCAGATTAAACCTGGCAGATTATCACAGATGATGTTTTGGGAGGAGAGTCTGTGTCTCTGCTGTGGTTGAGGGGTTTATTTTTCGGAGTGGAATACGCTCTACCTTCCCAATGAACACACAGATGCCGGGGCAGGATTAGGATTAGGTTGGATTAAGCCGGATAAATCACTCATTTTAGAATGATTTTTTAACACTCTCTTTGTGCCACGGGGCAACAATTAGAGCAGTGAGTTTATCCGATCTGACCCCCATTAAATGATTATTTAATGCTGTATCCTCTTGTGGCTCCCCTTTGCTGATGTCAGGATAATGTTAATTGTCTTACCTGTTCTCTGTACTGGTCTGCATGTCTTCTCTCGTCCTCTGCCTGCATCATCACCTCCTTCAGTTTCTTCTCTGTCTTCCGCACCAGTTTGTTGGCCATGGCTCGTTCCCTGAGAGACAAAAAAGTCCATTATAAGATACCTGCTGCACCAAGCAATTCAAAACATCTATCAAGCCAAAACATTACATTCTTATTGTGTTTTTGGTATATTTATTTGGAGTGTTTATTATAACCATGAGAGCTGTGCGAAGTTGGGTGAAGTGGAAAGTGAGTCCCATTTTTAGGGGTCCAAGCCCGAAGTGGGCCCAGTACTGCGAAGCGGCTGGGAACCCTATTGTAATCATTCTCGTTTTTATTTTTATTTTTATTCTTCCGCCGCTAATTCCACTACTGCAGCCTAGATGGTAACTGCTAGGGACGCAAAACTCACAGGGTAGGTACAAGCCCCTGAAAGTAACTGAAGCGCAAAAATCCACACACTTCTACCTCTAGGGGGCGCTATAAGCAAGGTCAACGCATTTGGGCTTGCTACTCCCGCTCATGACGGCGGATATCAAAAACCTTTAACCACACGTTCGGGGGATCGAGCTGAATCTCGTAGTATAGGCCACGCCCATTTCCGGCTAAACTTTTTTTTCGCTACATTGCGAAAACTGAAAAACCTATTTTAATTAACTCCTCCGTAGCCACAAGTACGATCGACACCAAACTTGGCACAGATAAGCTGATGAACGTTTGTAGAGGAAATTTTGATCCCGCAAAAAATGTCGCAATTATATGCTAGCTAGTTTGCGAAAAACGCTATAAACAGGAAATTATGTCATATCTTCGCTTTGGAATGGCCGATCGACACCAAATTTGGAGCATTAATGTGGGACGACTCCCTGAGGGCCCTGATCATTTGGTGCAATTCGGCCAAAAGGTTGCGCTATAATCGAAGCTCAAATATGGTCAGACAATTCCATTCATTTCAATGGGATTTTCAAGGTTTTCAGGTTTGCAACGGCCGATATACACCAAACTCGGGGACCTTATATAACACGCCACCCTGAGGCACTGTGTCAAATTTGCTGTCAATCGGCATCTAGGTGGCGCTATTAATTGGAAATCAAATAACACTGCCATAGGCATACATTCATTTCAGATCTCCGTAACCGCAAGCCCCTTTCATTTATAACTCTGGTCATTTATCCTCCACAGACCCCGCCGTGGCTCGGGGGCCCGTGATTATGGGACAATTAATCATGGCGGGCCCGGACCGACTCGCGAACCATTTGATTGTGAAAGACGCTTTCGCTGTTTTTCTATTGTTTGGACTTTCTCTGTTGTTTGGAAATGTATGCGCTGCACTCTGGTCCTGGCTTGTATGGACTTCTGGTGTCTTGTAGTCCCATGTGGGCTGGACATAGTTATATTCAGGACACAATAATAAACATTTACAGTAATTCATTCATTCATATGATATGAGCTGTTTACAATTAATGTCACGGCATGGTTTGTGTGGGACCAAAAAACCTCTAGGGAGGTATATTGAAAATGGAGTAGCCTTAATTCACCGTCCCTCATTATATAGTATTCACAGTAAGCTTTAATATGTAGTCTACTTTATGTAGAAAATGTGTATTGCCCCTGGTGCCCCTCATTATTTTTTTGTTTTCATAAACAAATACCCAGTTACCAAATGACACAAGGGAAAGGTTTCTTTCAAACGCATTATACTAATGCACGTCTGTGTATTTTTTCTCACTGTCTCTCCTGTTCCAGCTGCTCCTCCATCGAGTCTATCTTGGCCTCCAGTGCGGCGACGCTGAGCCTGTGTTTGCCCCTCACTGCTCCCTCCATTTCCCCCAGTCGGGTCTTCAGCTCCTTGTTCTGCCTCTCCAGCTGCTCCCGAGCTGCCTCTGCCTTCTGGGCCAGAGTCCTCTCTCCCTGCAGCTGCACGGTCAGAGTCTCCACCTGGACCGTGAGCAGAGAGGACAGCAATGATGACGTGTATGCTTACATGCATGTAACAGGTGACAGAGAGAGCGTTGGATGTGGGTGTATGTGCAGGTGCATCTGCCGTACCTGTAGAGCAGTCTTCCTTTGCCTCTCTGCTAGCAGTTCAGAGTTACTCTGCTCCTCCTCCAGCTCCTCCTCCAGCTGACTGACTCGCGCTTCTAACCTCCGCTTCTCCTCAAACAGTGCCGTCCTGGAAAAACATACAATGTTAATAACACTGACAAAAGTCCTACCAAACACGCGCTGATTAACAGAAAGTGATACTAACTTTCCAGAACTGCTGTTGACCATCTCATCCGCTATCTCGTCCCTCTCCTGCTGAGCCTGCCTCCTCTGCCTCTCTGATACAGAAAGCTCCTGCACAGACAAACGAGTGCACACACCCAGGGGTTTAAAAGTGACTTATAACACTAAAAACCATTTAAAAACACATTATTTCTTCATATTTCTGCTGGGTTTCAGTCAAATACACACACCTCAGTGAACTGCAGGACTTCTGCTTCCAGTGTTTGGATCTTCTTTTCGTTGTCTTTCAACTGAGCGATCACCTCATCCCGAGCCAACTTGGTCTCATCTAGCTCACGCAGAACTTCCTTCAATTGACCCTGATACAATTATAGGCAGTTATAGTTTTTTTTTTAAAATGCATGCAATTGGTAAGTACAGAAAAGCATTGATTATGTGTAGGGAGATTTCTGTTTTACCTGCAGCCTCCGTAGCTGCTTCACAGCCTCCTCTTTTCCACGGGTGGCTGCTTCCACTTGGGCTTCAGCTTCCTGCAGTTCTGCTTCCAGCTGCTTCTTGGATGAAACAGACTGGGACCGCTGGCTCCTCTCCTCCTCCAGCTGGATCTCCAACTCCCTTACCTGGCATAGGAAGGAGCACATAAGAAAATATTGAGATATTGGAAAGAGCAACAGCAACACCTTCTGTGATTTCCTCTCTCCTTCCTCTCTCCACCTGTTTGCTGAGCGCCCTCCTCTTCTCCTCTCCCTTCTCCTCGCTGGTGCTTATCTCCCTCTCAAACTGAGCCTTGAGCGCCTGCAGGGTGACCTCCAGCCTCAGCCTCGAGTTCTCCACCTCCGATAGCTCTTCCTCCAGCTCCTGCGTCTGAACTCGCAGGTTCTGGGCTTCTGTTTCTAAAGTCCTCCTGGTCCGCTCCAGCTCGTGAACCTAACACAAGGGCAGATAAGAGGAGGTGACGCACTGAGGACTGAGACAGAGAAGTGACAAAGGTTGTCCTAAGAGGAAGATTCTTACGTTCTTGCCGACATCGTCCTGCTGGTTTACAAGCTGTTCCATTTCCAGACGGAGCTGCTTGTTGGCCCTCTCAAGCTCTTCCCTCTGGTCCTGGGCCTCCTACGCACATAAACACAAGAATATTAACCACAAGCACAGAGACATAACAAACATTCTTGTATTTTCTGCTCTCAATTAGTTTACCTGCAGGGCTCGGGAAAGTGCCAGATGTCTTGTCTCCTTCTCTCGGCTATCTGCTTCCGCTCTGTCCCTTTCCTCTGCCAGCCGAGCGCTCACCGCCTTCTCCTCTGCCAGACACTGAGGGGGTGAAGGAGACAAAGTTAGCAGCGAAGGGAAAATACTTTAGGGACATTTACTCGCATGTTCGCACCCTGTTTAAGGTTCTGACCTGATCAAACTTCTTCTGCCTCTTCTCCAGGGCCGTGCAGTTCTGCCTCTCTCTCTGCAGGGCAAGCGTCATGTCCTCTATCTCCTCCCTCAGTCGCTCCCTCTGCCTCTCTACTCTCTCCTTCTCCTCCTCCTTCTGCCGCTCCCTCTGCATGACGCTGTCCAGCTCTCTCTGGAGTTTCCGGCGGGTCTCCTCTCCGGCCTCCACCGCAGTGTTCACCTCCTCCGACTGCTTACGAAGCTCTGCCAGCTGCAGGGGTGGAGCAGAGAGGTGGTGAATAAATGTCGCGGATGTGTTTGTTGAAACTTCACAGAGCAAAGAAAACGCCTAACCATCAACTCTACATCTTTGGTCTACTTCAGATATTGTGAACTGGAAACTACTTGAAATATGAGAAGGTCAAATGTGATATTCCTAAGTATGTATCTACTGTGTTTTTCTGATTTGTCTTGTATTTGATGGGTTAGTTTTGATATTTTACTGCTATGGACGATGCTCTGGAATAACATAAACTGATTGATTGGCACGTATTTTAAAGAGATGAGTTAAACAAAGCCTGCGTGGGATTTACCTGCTGTGTATGAGTCTGAATCTGCCGGGTCAACTCTTTGGCTCTCTCCTCCTCCTCCTCGAGTCTTTCCATCAGTCCGTTCTTCTCCTCCTCCAGCGCTCGAACCCTCCCGGCCAGAGCCATCTTTTGACGAGTTTCATCCTGCAGCAGTTCCTGAGAGAGAATCCAAGTGTGTCAGCCAAGGTCTGGTGACAGTCCGTGCATGTGTGGGTGTTTTTATTTTGAATCAGGAGCCAATTCTTTCATTTTTCTCAATTCAAGAGGAGGATTTTTTTTCAAGGTGTTTTAAAAATGATTGCCATTTTCTCAACTATAGGTGCTAAAGGTTTCTGTGGCTGTAACCCAAAAGCCAATGCCTAACATAACACCTGACCCCACCTTGTTGGCTGTGTGTGTGTTTTCAGTTAGTTACCTTTGCATCATGCAGCTGACTCTCCAGGCTGTTGACCTCTTTTGAGAGCCGAAGGGATTTTGTGTCAGAGGAGGTCAAATTGCTGGAGAGAGCCTCAATCTCACACTGACAGAAGTGGGAATAAAAGAGTGGGGATAAAGGTAAATTTACAACAAAGATTAATTCACAACAAATACATTGTTACACAATATACAATAAGAATCTGATTTTCTGAAGTTTAAAAGATACAAAGAAAAAATTAACAACAAAATAAATGAATTGAAGGCTTAATATCAGCGTGTTTGTATCTATTTGCACCTGTAGCTTGTGCACACGCTCTTCCCTCTCCTCCCTCTCTCTGTCGGCCTGAGCCAGTCTTGCGCTAAGCTCCTGAAGCTGACTCTCAGCCCTCTTGCGGCCCCTCTCGCTCTCCATGCGTCCCCCTTGGAGGCTCTTGAGCTCCGAGGTCAAATTCTGCCTCTCTTCCTCCAGCACTGCCTTGGCCTTCTCCAGGGACTGACGTGCCTGAAAGAGAACGCAGTTGCCACACGATGAGCGACAGGTGCGTGTTTACATGTGCATCTGTTTTTGAATGTGGCGTTTCTCTTACTCTCTTGCTGTTGTCCAGCTGTTCTTGGAGGCTGTCTATGGCAGCGCTGTGTTTGACTCTGAGTTCTGACAGTTGGGCCTCGTGGCGGCGAGTCTCGTCTTCAACGCACCGCTGGAGCTCATTTAACTCCGCTTCCCGACGAGACCTGTGTAGACGGAAGAGGAAGACAAAAAATTCGATAATAATTTTCTCCTTTGAAATAAACTTTCTTTTTCAGTCCTGATCTGACAACAAATACACAAAAAGTGAACTTTTGAATTTCAAAGTCAAAATTTTATTATGATTTATGTACTTATGATTTACCTTAGCTCCTGCTGGGCAGCTGTAGTGTCCAGAGTGTCCTCCAGCTCAGTTCTCAAAGCCTCCAGCTCCTCCCCCAGGTCTCGCCTCTGTTTCTCTGCCCTCTCCCTCATCCCTCGTTCATTCTCCACTTCCTCCTTCAGCTCAGACACCTGGGACATGGCCTCCCTAAGCGCCCTCTGAGCTTCGGCACGGCGCGCTCCTTCTTCCTCCAACCTGACAGAGACAGGGAAGGACAGATGAATTAAGGGAGGGGCGCAGTGTGAAAAATATATGACAAGCCTATGTGTTACTGTGTGTCTGTTATATACTGTTCTGTGTCTCACCGGCCCTGCAGGGTGGTGATTTCCTTCTCCTTCTGAGCCAGGCTGCCCCTGAGCTCGGCAGCCAGCATGCCCAGGTCTGACAGCTGCTCTTGGGCCTCCACCGACTCGCTCTCCATCCTCCTCCTCCACTTCTCTTGCTCTAGGCGACCCTGCTCCTCACGCTTCAGGCGTTCTGCACACATTTATAGAAGCGACGAATTACAGATCGCAGAAATTGCAAATATTGAGACAAGGTTGGACAAAAGGGATACCACCAGTCAAGTTGGGTGCTACAATGTAACCAGAATCACAATCACAATCAGAAGGAGCTTTATTGCCAAGTAGTGTTTTACACATACAAGGAATTTGCTTTGGTGATAAGGTCCTACACACAGACAAACATACAGATGACATAAATAAATGTAGAAATATATAAATATGGAATAAACAAATGCAAGTTATATAAGAATAATAGAAGAATAGAGAAAAATAATACAGCTATTTGCAGAGAAAGCAACACTCTCTGCAAATAGCATTTGCGTAACATTCCTCTAGCTATGGACAAAATTATGGAGGTTATTAGTATGCTTTATACTGACATCAATTATTCACTCTTTTACAGGAATTTAAAAAATATCGTATTTAAACATTTTAAATTCGTAGAAAGTTGCTTCAACTTCACATTGTGCAAAAAAAAATATTCAAATGTAAATAAAATATAACTCAAAATACTAAACGCTTTCACAGACAATCTGTGTAACTTCTGCAATCTACACATAAAATATGAGCATGCAAACAAATCAGAAAGACTGACAACTATGTAGAAAATGCATTGGGACATTTACCATCTAGGTCAGCGATGACAGCCTCCTGTTTGTTCTTGAGTTTGTTCAGACTTTTGGTTTTCTCCTCCTCCTCAGTGAGCTGATCAGTCACCTCACTCAGACGCTCTTCAAGCTGTTTCTTCTCCTGCTCAGAGAAAAATAAAAAAATAGCATTGGGTCATGAAATATATATAAAACATGTACACCCTGCAGGAGCATGCAAGCAGTGGAGTTTTCCATTTGACATAAAGGTGTCAGCACAGGATCAAGCAGATACAAAATACATACTGTATATATGGGGGTTGTTGTTATAATAATAATAAATACTGTTTTATCTAACATTCGTGCACAAGATGAAAAAGCTTTAGCGAGATGCCCACTTTGCTGAGTCTGTCTCTCTGCTCCACTGCATTCAGCAGGTCGGATTCCAGACTCTTCACTTTGGTCTCCAAGGTGACCTTCTCCAGCAGGAGGCGCTGTCGGGCACTTTCCTCCTCCTCTAACTGCTCCTCCAAGTCCTGACAATGACAGAAGGACATGATTTAATAGCATGCAAGGGAGGGAAAGACAATTTTAATTTAACTTCAGTGATGTTACTGATTTTCATTTCTGTTTTTTTATGTCACTCAGTATTACATATTTCTGATTTTACTTAATCTCCTCACCTGTATGTTCTGCTGCATCCTCTTCTTCTCATTGGTCATCTGCACACCTCTCTCCTCCTCTTCCTCCAATCGACTCTCCAGCTCACCCAGCACTTCCTCCAGCTCCTGTTTCCGACTGGCCAACCTGGCCCTCATCTCCTCTGCCTCCGCAAACAGCTCCGCCTCCGCCTGCAGCTGGTCAGCCAGCACTGACTTCTCCTCCATCAGCTAGACAAGGAGAGGTGGAGGAGAAGGAGTGACGATCGAGGCACTGATTAATAGCAGAGGGGGGAACCGGCAGCACAACAAGGTGAAGAGTTGTTTACCTGAGCGTGTTTCCTGTCCAGCTCAGTGTAGTCCTGCTCCACTCGGGTGAGTTTGTCCTTGACCTTCTGGAGCTGGGCTTCCCTAACCTGGATCTCCTCGTCTTGCCGGGTCACCTGCAGCAGGGGCTTTACCTGGTTGGCACAGAACAAGGATCAGAGGTCAATGTGAAGGACATCCCCATTCCTGCATCCCCTATGATTTTATTTCCTGCAACGGGCTGATTTTATTTTTCTTTCCCTTGTCAAGGATCTAAAGTCAACGTATAGATTTTAGAACATATTTTTTCTCTTGATAGGCTCTAAAACCCAATCCTGTTGCCTTTGCTTTAGTTAATACATTCTGCACCAACTAGTAATCTGTATCACAACTCGACCATTGCAAGTTTGCTTTACAAGTGCAACAAACATAAACTAAATCAAAGTAAAAAAGTTTAATAGTAAAGTAAAGAATTGAAGCTTTTCAGCCACGTCAGTGATCACTTGCAGATGTGTGTTGTACAGTGGGTACGGAAAGTATTCAGACCCCTTTAAATTTTTCACTCTTTGTTTCATTGCAGCCATTTTCCAAAAATCAAAAAAGTTCATTTTATTTCTCAGTAATGTACACTCAGCACCCCATCTTGACAGAAAAAAACAGAAATGTAGAAATTTTTGCAAATTTATTAAAAAAGAAAAACTGAAATATCACATGATCATAAGTATTCAGACCCTTTGCTCAGTATTTAGTAGAAGCACCCTTTTGATCTAATACAGCCATGAGTCGTTTTGGGAAAGATGCAACAAGTTTTTCACATCTGGATTTGGGTATCCTCTGCCATTCCTCCTTGCAGATCCTCTCCAGTTCTGTCAGGTTGGATGGTAAACGTTGGTGGACAGCCATTTTCAGGTCTCTCCAGAGATGCTCAATTGGGTTTAAGTCAGGGCTCTGGTTGGGCCATTCAAGAACAGCCACGGAGTTGTTGTGAAGCCACTCCTTCGTTATTTTAGCGGTGTGCTTAGGGTCATTGTCTTGTTGGAAGGGAAACCTTCGGCCCAGTCTGAGGTCCAGAGCACTCTGGAAAAGGTTTTCGTCCAGGATATCCCTGTACTTGGCCGCATTCATCTTTCCCTCGATTGCAACCAGTCGTCCTGTCCCTGCAGCTGAAAAACACCCCCACAGCATGATGCTGCCACCACCATGCTTCACTGTTGAGACTGTATTGGACAGGTGATGAGCAGTGCCTGGTGTTCTCCACACATACCGCTTAGAATTAAGGCCAAAAAGTTCTATCTTGGTCTCATCAGACCAGAGGATCTTATTTATCACCATCTTGGAGTCCTTCAGGTGTTTTTTAGCAAACTCCATGCGGGCTTTCATGTGTCTTGCAGTGAGGAGAGGCTTCCGTCGGGCCACTCTGCCATAAAGCCCCGACTGGTGGATTGCTGCAGTGATGGTTGACTTCCTACAACTTTCTCCCATCTCCCGACTGCATCTGTGGAGCTCAGCCACAGTGACCTTTGGGTTCTTCTTTACCTCTCTCACCAAGGCTCTTCTCCCCCGATAGCTCAGTTTGGCCGGACGGCCAGCTCTAGGAAGGGTTCTGGTCGTCCCAAACGTCTTCCATTTGAGGATTATGGAGGCCACTGTGCTCTTAGGAACCTTAAGTGCAGCAGAAATTTTTTTGTAACCTTGGCCAGATCTGTGCCTTGCCACAATTCTGTCTCTGAGCTCTTCAGGCAGTTCCTTTGACCTCATGATTCTCATTTGCTCTAACATGCACTGTGAGCTGTAAGGTCTTATATAGACAGGTGTGTGGCTTTCCTAATCAAGTCCAATCAGTATAATCAAACACAGCTGGACTCAAATGAAGGTGTAGAACCATCTCAAGGATGATCAGAAGAAATAGACAGCACCTGAGTTAAATATGAGTGTCACGGCAAAGGGTCTGAATACTTATGACCATGTGATATTTCAGTTTTTCTTTTTTAATAAATTTGCAAAAATTTCTACATTTCTGTTTTTTTCTGTCAAGATGGGGTGCTGAGTGTACATTACTGAGAAATAAAATGAACTTTTTTGATTTTTGGAAAATGGCTGCAATGAAACAAAGAGTGAAAAATTTAAAGGGGTCTGAATACTTTCCGTACCCACTGTATATTTCCCCGTCTCTGTTGTAATGTAGTTGTGTGCACAGTACCTTGGTGAACAGCCGCCACCACTGCCAGTTCCTGAGTTTGAGGTATGCAGCACAGTTCCTCTGCATCACCCTCATAGCGCTCAGCTGCTGCTGCTTCTTCAGAAAGGCTCTGGGATGTAATACAAATTAAACAATAAATCCACAAAAATACACATGGGTGTGTGAATGAAAGTGGCGGATTGTCCTTTCAGACATAGGAACTACAGCAGAAAAAACATCTGCAGGAATAAGCTCATTAAGTCCCATTTTTAACTGTACTCCACCGTCCTACTAACATTTACGCTGCTCAGTTATAGGGCAGTACTAACAGTGTGTTAGTTTTGACATTTTTGCAAGAAATTTTGTTGTCATGCAAAAAAGCAGATAATATAGCATTTTTTTTGTCTCCATTATAAAAACACAACTTTATTATTTATTCACAAGCTTCCAGAAGCGGTGCCAAATACCTTTCAATGCTGTTGCAATTCCTGAGTCACTGATAGGGGCTGACAAAAGATTAAATATTGATGCTACTTTAAGAGCGAAATACAAAACGCCCTCCTAAACAGCAGCAAGCGAGCGCTCCTTACAGAGAAACCCCACTTGCCTTCTCCTATCCCTTTAGTTTCAGTTAGTAAACAAGTGATTGTTGAGTGGCCGATGACTCAAGTTAAATCGTAGTATAACAAATATTTAAAAATGATAACAACACTTCAGTGCAAAGTAGGCTAGAGTGGCTTACAAACTAAATAAGCATGTGTCTATCATAGCTCCCCCTCTCTGCTAATGTTTATTCTTAGGTAAAACTCTTACTTGCGTGCAAGGTAGCCTCTGGAGGCGCTCTGGAAGCGTATGATGGTGTCAGTGATCTTTAGGTCTCTTTCTTCTTCCAGGTGAGCCAGGACTCCAGCTCTGAAGAAGACTTTACTCTGACCCACCCTGAACAGGTTGAGATCCAGCTCCAAAGCCCTGATCTGAATGAGGAAACGGCATCCAGTTAACAGTGGTTAGCAATTTCCAAAATATTGTATTTTTATGGCTACTATAAAAATGACTTACCATGAGTTCTGATGCCTGTTTGCCATCCATGAAGGTGCGGGGAATAGCATTAGGAGTCAGGATCTCATATCTGGGAGACAAAAGTGATTTTGTAAGCGTGTGTGTTCTGAAGCAAGAGACACAAAACTGAGGATGTGTCAAAAAGGTCATTCCAGAGATGCCAGAGAACATGCTTGAAGAGGCATTTATTGTGTGTGTGTGTGTGTGTGTGTGTGTGTGTGTGTGTGTGTGTGTGTGTGAGAGAGAGAGAGAGAGAGAGGTGGTTATGAAAGGTAGTTGACTGGAGTCTGTTTACAGTCTCTTCTGTGATACAAAAATACAATCACACCCACACACACACACACACACGCACACCTCTGTCTGAACTCCTGGAATGGGATGCGGTTAGGGAAGCCTTGTCTGCAGATACGGATCCCCTCCAGAACTCCGTTACACCTCAGCTGGTCCAAAACCAGATGGGGGGACAGCTTACCGGCCTGAGCGAGCCACAAGCGACACAAAGGAAGAGAGGGAGAAAGACAAGCAGACCAGACAAGAGAAAGTGAAATAAATGGAAGATTTAATTCAAACACATCTATCCTGTTACCCCTCTAGTCCTACTGTCTTACCCTCTTCTCGTGGTTGGGGATGATGCAGCGGAGGAAGTTGGGGTTGGTGTTCCTCAGCGTGGCCATCAGCTTTGTGAGAGACTCCTTGTAAAGCTGACCAACAGTCCTGAACATACCCTTCTTCGTCTTGAGTCCTGCTGCTCCGAACGTGACGGGCCCACTGTTGTCTCCCGACGACACCTGGTCAAGACCCACGATCCTGTCCACTGAACCAAAAAACACACAAAGGTCTCAGTTTCAGCAGCAAGTATGACTTAAGTGGAGTGAATAGGGTTTACCAGACTTGGTTTGGACATGGACATGTCTGTATGAATGCCATACTAATGCCATGGCATTATGATTTTACATCTGCAATCAAGTCTCTGGAAAGATGATATCAGATGGTGGACAATGGATTTGGAGCTCATTAGAGATGCAATCATATGGTTTCAAAGCAAATACAAAAGAATTTATTTGCTTACCCATATGGACCAGTAAGATACACATACAGAATTAGTACAGTGCAAGAGCAAAACAGGTTTCTAGCTTAACCTTGAACATGTCTGAACAGGCATGACTACAGCTTTCTCTGTCTATCATTTGAAAAAAAAAGTGCTGACTTATTATGTTCCTGATTTGACGGTTGTATTGACTGAGTTGTATACAAAACTGCCAATTCCACAATAACCCAAATTTCTATATTAGTAATACCATTATACTATTTAAGCTATTTAAATGTTACCACTGTATGCCAATATGTAACATCTCTAGAACTCATTCAGGATCACAGTTCTGCCTGCACATGGTTGGTTTTCATAAAACTGCTCCAGTTGTTTGTGGCAGTACTGTGCAACACAACTCTTATCGAAAGCATGCTGCTACCTAGACACTGTTCAATTTCTATAAAAAGGAGGTGAATTACTTCTTTATGAATGGAAAAAAACTACATCACACAAGCACTGTCACTAAAAGCAAAAGACTTGGTGACAGAGTAAAAGAGAGAACAACTGTTTCAACAGCACAGTGAGAATATGATAGAAAAATGAATACTACAGAACAAATATGAAACTAAAATGAGTAAACAATTACACAAAAGGGCACACGACAATCAAACACTGAAAAAAACAAAGGAGCAATGCAAGCAGAGGTGGGAGTGAGGAATGTGACACGCAGAGGAGGAGAGGAACCTACTGTCGGAGCCATTAGCCTGTAGTGTGGCATAGGAGTCAAAGAAGTACACACGAGGAAGAGTTTGAATATCTGATGCAGGAAGAAGGAAGGCCCAGAGAGAAAAATAAGAGGGAAGGAAAGAAGGAGCCCATGTGAGCACAAAATTAGTGGAGAGGAAAGAGAAAAGAACAGAAGGAAATGGGACAAGAGTAAGCAAACACAGGAGAGAACAAGAAGGAAAAAGAACAGAGATGGACAGAAAGATAGAATAGTTCCATCATAGAGAAAGAGAAGAGAAAAAAATACAGTAAAGTTAGTACATTTCGCACAAGAAACCTTTATAACTGACAAATTTTTCAGTTTAAAGTACAGTTCTTACATACATTTTTACATACTGTGCACATATGACGTCCATAAATTAAAGGTTTACTGTACATGGTAGTGATTGAACGCTACAGTAAATCAGTCTTACCCTCCTTCCAAAGCTCTGAGACGAAATGATCCGACGACTGGTGGAGGAGAGATGCCACGTTGTCGTTCAGAGGATCCATGTTCTTCACTAACCAATCATCTGCCTTGTAGTTCACCTGAGAGACATTGCGGGGACATTTTCAACTCGGTTTCTTTGAGTGGGAAAGATGGCAGACGTGGAATTTGTTCAAGAAATGATAGGATACCTTGCCAGCATAGTGAATGATGGAGAAGTCAGCTTCCCCACGTGGCTGCTTTGATCGGAAGAATTTTGGATGGCTGCCTTGCTCAGCAGACAGCTTCTCTACAAAAGAGCGGTCTGTTGCACGGGGGAACCAGCACTCTTCATCCAGCAGGGCCAGGACACCAGGCGGGTGGGTCTAACAGAGACAGGGAAAAACAACCTTTATTGTGAGTGAAACTTTCAAGTGGAATACCGAATCAAAGTGTGCGATTGTGTGCTTTGCATGTTTCTCTTTATGTTCTTTTATTCTCTTTCATTCCTTCATCTGTGGGTGGGGTTGATTGCGAACAGGTTCTGTGTGCCACAGATTGAATCCTCAACCTGAACCTTATCATGCTATTTTCCTACAATAACCAAACAATGCACGCTACTTGTATGGAAAGTAAATATGGACTGTCAGCCTCTATATTCTCATCAATTAATGATAATTTGTGTTCCGCTGTGTGTATGTACTGGTTTCTCAATGAGGTCAATGCAGGGCTGTAAGTCCAGGCCAAAGTCGATGAAGTTCCACTCGATGCCCTCCCGCTGGTACTCCTCCTGCTCCAAGATGAACATGGTGTGGTTGAAGAGCTGCTGCAGCTTCTCATTGGTGTAGTTGATACACAGCTGCTCAAAGGAGTTTAGCTGCAGAGGGATTCAGGAAAGCAAACAAAGACTCATGTAATGTAACCTATAGAACAACACACACACACTTATACACTGTAGCGTTTGTGACACTACATGCCTATAACACTTGCCCGAACCTAATACTAACTGTAACCTATCCTTAAAATGTACAAATAAAGGGAAACACTGGCTTGAAAATAAAATATCCATTATCACAAACATTTCAGAACTAATGCTGGGGTATAGCAAAAGTCAAACATCACCCCTTATGTATGTTAAATTTGAACTACTGACCTACTGCATACAAACATACAATCATTACATGAACAAACCTGGAAGATCTCAAATCCAGCGATATCAAGGATCCCTATGAAGGAGGCTCCCTGTCGCTGTCTGCGGTCCAGAGCTCTGTTGATCCTGTGAACCAGCCATCTGAACAGACGCTCGTATGTGGCCTTCGCCAAGGCCTCCACAGCAAAGTCAGCCTAGAGGAACAAGGATACACTATTAGACACACTCCATAGGAACAAATATCTGTTTATCTGTATGACTACAAATGTCTATGCACATAAGATCTTACCTGTTCTTTCGTCTGGGCCTTCTGCACATACTCTCGACCCACTTTGATTCTGGGAGTGAGGATGGCCCGAGTGAACTCCAGCACATTGACGCCCAGCAGATGGCACAGTTTCTGAGCAGCTGTGTTATCCGGCATTGAGGCCTGATCCTGGTTCTTTTCCTTCATGAAGGAAATGTTTCCAAACTGGAGCACAGCAGAGATCACCTTAAGCATGGCTGCAGAGAGGTATGACAGGGAGAGGGAAGGTGATTTATAGCACGGATCCAAACGGAAAGAAGTAAACTACTTTCTCTCGTCTCTATCATCCCCTCTCTTACATATTGACTCCTCTGGGGTGAAGCCCATAATAGCCATGGAGTCCATGGTCTGGGTGAAGTTCTCTGAATCGCTCTGACCAGGAACAGGAATGGAGCCTCCACTCAGAAAGCGGTATTCATCAGCAGTTCCTAACAGCAGGTCCGCTAGGGATGGAAATTAAAAAAAGGTGAAACAGAGAGAGCTAAGTAGAAAAGACATAAATTACCACAGGACATGGATACATTTTACTGGTGTATTTCACCAAAATAACATGCAGCATATTCTGTAGTATAGCCGTATTTCATTATGACACTTTGGCTCACCTCTTGTCTCCTCTGAAGTTCCACACAACAACTGGTAAAAGATGTGGAACGTCCTTTCATCCTTGGCCTGACGGGTGGCCCGGGACTTTTCAAGGAGGTCTGGATTTATGTCGTCATGGACATGTGCAGCTGAAGCTAGTTAGTCCTGGTCTACTTCTAGCAATGTATCCTTTCCAAATCAGAATTTATAGTGTATATGTAATATATATAAATCTTTAAATAATCAAATTATTTTGCATGTCACAAATAAACACAGGAGTCACAATATACGACAAGGTAAATTCGCCCAACTACGCTGTAAATGAGGCAGCTTATTTAGACAGCAAGAGTGTTTCTATCTTTCAAAAACCTATGTAAAAGGATACAGGTTTCTATGTTGGCACCAACAATGTACCCCGCCACGTCAAAATTAATGCGGATGAATTTACCCTGAAGCAGAAGAAAAAGTTTCAGTTAATTTATATAGTAAATTATCAAACTGATGATACTGACATGAAAAGAATGCTCAGGAGGTTTGTATAAACTGTCAAGTCTGTTCTTACAAATCTAGAGGAGTTGTCGTTCTTCACAGTCTTTGCGTTACCAAAGGCCTCCAGTATGGGGTTGGCCTGCAGCAGCTGTCTCTCCAGCTCGCCCTGAGACACACAGGAGACGTCAGATCAGCTTCACAGCACTACAAAGATATGAGCCTCAACAAAAAAACCTCCATAGGGCCTGTGTACTAAAATGCACCATTTAATCCTGCTCTCTCTGAAGTAACTACTGATCTGTTATATAAAAAAAAGCATGACTCATCCTTGAAGATCAGTGACACAAAATGGTGCATTTTAGACCCCAAAATAGCATTCACAAAACACACCATTCGCAGGACCGGGAACAAATGATTCTCAACGTCAATATGAGTAATGGGCTCTCTTTAGTTAAGCAATCAATGAAAAGAATCATCATGTTTCATGTTTAATTTATTATTAAAATCTACATTATTAAAAGTCAATCTCTAGAATCCAACTAACAAGAGTCAGTTGAGAACCACTGTTGTACGACAACAAGGGCAGAGAAGCTGCAGGTTTAGATGCCAATATCATATACAAGCTACATATTGGCTGATTCTAGCTAGCTGCAAAGCCTTGCTACGGTTGTCGCATTGCCAGTGCAGCAGCTGTTGATGCAACATCAGCAGCAGCCAATGAAGAAGAGTTACTGTAGCTACAGGAGATGGTTATACTGTAAAAACGGTCAAGGAATGTCAGGCAGCCAACACCAGAGGCAGATACACAAGCACACACAGAGGTCAGCATTTTAAAGGGTATACTACACACAACGACAGAACAATATATTTACACACATACACGCACGCACGCACGCACGCACATGCACACACACACGCGCACACACATACACACACACACGCGCACACACACACACAGATGGCAGCAAACGACACAACCACACCCATACCCACTCCCACTGTACAGTTCATGTAATTAAAACCAGTTCTACAGGTAAGCAAAAACCAGTGGGAATGAGAAGCCAACCCTCACCCCACTGAGAAGAATACAATAAAACGTGCCTAAACTAGAGACCCTGAAAGACAGGATTTATGACAGGTAAGTAAAAAAGAAAAGCACTATCCACCGAAGGCATGATTCTCATCATGTATCAAGTGAATCATATCAGCTCTTGTAAATATTCTACACAGAAAGTTTCATTTCTACAAAAAGTGACCCCCAATGAATAAACCCCAAGTTGTCTAAATACGTTTATACTCACATATTGCATACTCTGACGAATTGTGTGTGAGGAAATGAAGTTTTAGGGGGGAGGAGAATGGGTGAACATATGGATGGGATAAACAAACAAACAAAAAAAGACAAATAAGACAACAATAACAATAACAAAGAAAGGAATACAAACAAGCAAAATCAAATATACTGTGCAAGGTTTGATTGTTATGAGGAACCACATCAATACTGATAGTTTAAGGTTACTGTGTTGGTTAGTAAGTATCATCTTGGAGTTCAATAAAACTGGGTGGAGTGTGCGATTAAAATCCAATGCAATGTCTTTTTGTCAAATTCAGCGAATATCTCCTCACGGCTAGTTGTCCATTCTGTGTGTGCGCAGAAAAAAATCCCAGTGTTCGTACACAGCTCTGGCTCTGACCGAGCCACCCAACACTATTCCAGCCGTTCCAGCCATGATATGTGTGTCAACGTTAAATTACTTGCCCTCGGGCATTCAGCTTACTTTCTAGTTTGCCGAGACATGCTGTTGTTGTGATGTTAGCTATAGTAGCAGGAGAGTTGTGAGTGTCGCCGTTTGGAGCTTGTGTGCTGGCTCTGAGACCATCTCTTCCTCTCTGCATGTTAGCTTTGCAGCAGCAACTGTACCGACAGTTTGCTAACCCACAACTTAGCTAACGTTAGTTAAATTACTTGCTGTATCGTTGTTCGCTCTACATCGTGGTATTTGGTATGGTTTTGGAAATCTCAAGAATCGCAAACCCCACCTTTAAGCAGGAAAAAATACAGGATAAAAGAGCAGGACAGGACAGTAGGATCGAGTTCACTCACCCTGTTCACCAAAGTACTGCCCCTTGTTAAAGATCTAGAGCCATCCATCTGAACATGCAGGAAAGAGAGGACAAAGCAGAAAGAAGAGAATGAGGGGGAACAAGTGCAGGAAGGAAGGAAGGTAAAGGAAATTGCAGAGAAAATGAGAAAAAGAAGACTGATAAACAGCACCTGCACCTGCAGGGAAACCCATTTTATAATCATAATGTATGAATAAAAAAATTAAGAGGAAAGGGATTGAGGTTCATTAAATTGTGATTGGGTTAGGGAAGAAACATTGCATTGGACTGTATTGAGAACAGCAACTTTGAACTAATTCTGAAGACACTGCAACAATGGTGAGTTATATTTTTTTTAAATTAATAGTTTAATTTTGGGAAATAGTTCATTTTGGGAAACAAGCTTATTCACTTTCCTTCCTGAGAGTTAGATGAGAAGATTGATACCAGTCTCATGTGTGTGCGCTAAGTACAGAGTTGGAGATTAGCTTAGAATGGAAGTGTTGCTCTGTCTAAAGTTCAACACACCTACCAGCTCATCTAAATCTCAATAATTAACACAATCCAACCTCACTGTGTTGGCAAGACTCTGAGAAGTTACTGCGGTCGTGTGTACACCAAAAAATAGTTATAGTACGAAAGTCCCCATAAAACTCCATGCTGTCAGTTTTACATTTCTGTTTGAGTGCAATTCAAAACAACAAGATATTATGTGTTAATTAGTGAGCTTTATAGCTGTTGTTATGCATTTGTTCAGAATTTACTTTGGAAAGAGGCAGGCTTGTTGTTTCCTCTTACTTCCAGTCTTTTTGCTAAGCTAGGCTAATCCTCCTGATTCTAGATCCGAGCTTACTGTACCACACAGACACAAGAGTGGCATCAGTCTTCTCACCTAATTCTCCGATAGAAAGTTCATAAGCCTATTTCCCAAAACTTTAACTATTCCTTTACTTAAATACCAGATGGCAACATTTCACAGCTGTAAGACACATAATTCAGCCCAGACTCCAGATATATTGGTGAAAACACACACACAAGTGACTTATGGTCATATCATGGCACAGAACACAGAAAAAGCACAGATGAGCTGCACTGATATCTCTGAGGTCAAGTGATATACTTTTGAGGCATTGTAACATGATTTGGTTACTGTAATGTGAACACAGTTCTGCTTAGCCTCAACTTAGCTTCCTATAGCCTACAGTCTACATCATATTTCTTTTCCTCATCTCTTATTTTTTTCGCTCAACACTCAAATGCTTCTCCACCTTTTCCATCTTTCCTGTTAGTCCCCTCCACTTTCATTCTAAATGTTCCTAGAAAAGCCCTTCTTCTCTTTGTATGTTGTTTTTTTCGGCTGCTGCTCTTCTTTTTCTTTTTACTTCTGTGATGTCTCTACTGCGACGTACCTGGACAGCTTCCTTGTTCCTGCCCAAAGTGCCACCCTTATGAGAAGAGGCAACGTGAGCCAAATACTGGATTACTTTCTTAGTGTTCTCTGTTTTCCCAGCTCCAGACTCGCCTCTGGAATACACATAAACACAGACACACACATACACACACACACACACACACACACACACACACACACACACACACACAAGACCGAGTAAGGAACACACACACATACACAATAAATACCATTCTCTTAACAAAATGGTCCATCTCAAACACATATGGTCTCAATTATGAATGGTATATATAAGCATTTTAAAGAGAGAGGACACACAGGAACAAGTGGCCAAACACACATTCATCACACCAGTAAATATAGTGCCCATGCAGTGCATTCAAAGCCACAGGTCCAAACAGAAAGCAGGTGTGGAGGATACAGGCTGCGTCAGTATTGTTGCTTTTGGCGAAGAACCACGGAGAGTGGCGTAAAAATAGCAGCTGTAAAAGACCTAAAAGGAGAGGACGGCTCGTCCCAAATACACTGATTCAAGATGAACATAAAATGGGATCCTTGACAATGACAGGAAGAGTCTGGCAGGAAGACATGATGACAGGGAGCCGAATGAAAGGCCCTCAGGCAAGCAGGTAGGCAGACAAACCATGGGGAACAGACAGGATGATGCATTCACATCATAGACCTGGCATTTTGCAAAGATGTGATTTTTCCGTCCTGATTCTTTAAATTCATGTTTGAAAATGTGACCCATACAGAGGTTTTCCTCACAGCAAATTACAAAGCATTCACACACAGCAGGCAACTCACGTGCAGAGGATTGATTGATCTTCTCGGTCTGTTAAAGAAAAAACAATGTGAGGACAAATTAGTAACATATAGATATAGAGAAAGATCTGTCGGACTGTTGAGAAACGATTTTGAGATACTTCTGTTCTACATTTGTTCATACAGTGTTAAACATGTGGGAGGTCAACATCAAACAGCTACAAGGATCACAACTGTGACGATTTGAAAATCTACACATGTTGATATATGATTCTTGAAATAACACCCTCTAAGGTGCTGTGTGGGAGTGAGGAGGTTATCTATGGCACCATCTTGGCTCATGTTACACCAAGCCTCCACCGCCACTAACCAGGCATGAAGTTCTCTGGAAGCCTCAATAGGGACCCACACCTCAAATCTTCATGGGTAATACATATTATATGTATAAAGATGGACTCAAACTAGGGCTCAGACTGTGCTCTGACTCTTGGCATGTCAGTCACTGCTTCACTGATTAACACTTTAGAAAGAAACAGGCCACCAGCTGAACTAGTCTCTCCAGGCTGCCAAACCACATAACACTGGTAGTCAATGGGTGGACATTGTTTGCAACATTACTTGTGTTTAAGATTCCCACACGTTCAGTTTAGAGGAATTCATACTGGTCCTACAGGTTAAATCACTGTAATAACACACCTACAGTCTACCCTGAGGGGGGGGGGGGGGGGGGGGGCAAATACATAGACGCAGAGCCTCATCTGTCATGTCCTGTTATCTCTGGAAGACACCCTGAGGCAGAGACATTGCTCAATCGGCCATTAACCGCTTTTAAATGGCTGCTGGGAATTCTGTCTCATCTCATGAACTCAATATTACTGGTAGGGCCTAAAAAAAATCATGCATTCTTAAACATATTATATGTGGTTATCACACATTTCATCACCACAACAAATAAACAATATCACTTAATCCACTCATTAAAGGGAGTGCCACACCCAGAAATCTCTGTTGCAAAAAATACTGTCTTGCCTGTTTGTTGTCACTTTAAAGGCTTTTGAGCCACGAGTCAAGAGCATACCGCACCTTTAAGTAGCGTTCACAGTGTGGCTTAGCGAGCAAAGATCACAGACGAGATTCATTACCATGTTCCAGCCCAGATGAGCTGTTGCAGTGCCAGAGTTAGTCAGGGGTCAGAGGTCATAGATAGTGTTGAATACCTTGTAGCATGCTGCGATAGGCGGCCTCTGATATGGCGTAGATGTGTGGGGGCATCTCGTGGCGTTTTTTGCCCCGGTACATCTCCACAATGGCCTCTGTGTAGATGGGCAGGTTCTTGTAAGGGTTCACCACCACACAGAACAGGCCTGAATATGTCTGGAAAAACACACAGAAGAGAGAGATTTACATTGTCCTTATCCTCATAGTTTGTATTTCACAATCCAGACAGAATAAAAACGGCATAATTTTGTTTTAGTTCTGTTTGATTATTATTATGTTCAACACTCTCTCTGCAAATGCTTAGTAACTTGAGTTAGTTGAGACTGTCAATAATAGTGGGTGGCTTAACTTCTCCTGTTTGATAACTGCAGGAGAAGCGTGTTTTTATTAAACAACTGCTTCAACAGAATGTACAGCACTAAACCAAAAAAGGTGCAGAGCGCTCGGTGCAGCTCTGTCATTTACTTGATTCAGTATATAACGCAGGCAAATAGGACAGTCTTATCTGAACATTCAGGGAATTGTCAGTTGAATTGATTTCAGTCCAAACATATGGTCCATAAAAAAAGGTGACAATTATAAATTAACAAAGGAACATTTTGGGTCTTGTAAATGCAGCCAATGGTTACATCTTCTACACAGTGCCCATTCATACCCAAACATGCACTCCAACTGCAATGAAAGCCACCAATGATACACAAACTACTTTATCTTATCTCATACTGTTATACGCCCCTTAAAGCTATTCCAACAATTTATCAATACTGCTCTCTGTCCTTCTGCTAATCTTTCCTCTCAGCTTCATCCTCCATCCCATTAACAGGCAACTCAACTACATTTCATTGCCTATATATTAATCTACTTTAATCACACATACTGTATAATATATTTCCTGGGTATGTAAATCACCATGACTTCCATTCCTACTTATCCTTATCCTACTGCAGTAGAAACTGTAGATGCCTCCCACTGACACCTCACACACAAACACACACACACACACACACACATACACACGCACACTAACAACTTTGTAAACTGACTCCACACCTTTCTTACCACCCCATATCAGTTCCACAGGAGACATCAGAGGAGCTAACCGTTAACACATGCGTGTACACAACATCACAAACTGCCTTCTCTTGTTAATACATGTATGTGAATATGCATTGTGTGAGATTATTTGCTATATGCTGTGAATGCGTTCACCCTCTCATGTGTTTATTGTTTTGTGCACTCACATATATCAGTCCAGAGTAGTATCTCTCTCTCAGGTTGTGCAGCACCGAGGCTTCGTTGAGGCAGGTGAGGTCGGCCATGTCCTCCACTTTACTGAAGCGTGGGGGGTTCATCCGCTGCACCTCCTCCCTGGACAGAGTGATCCGCCGCTGACTGTCTGTAAGCTCAACCTCCACCTCATCACCACGCTCTTCCCGAATACTGGCCGACTGGGGGTGGAAAAAGAGAGAGGTTTAACAGACAGTATGGGAGATGAAGAAAGAGAGTTTGTGTTCAATGTGAAAATTAATCAGTTAGCAGATACTTGCTTGAGGAACACCACAGTGAACATCATGTCAACCTCAACATTTCACAGTCAGGTGTCAAACAAGCAATGCCTTCATGAGGAAATCAATCTCAAATATTCAATAAATAAAACTCGATCTCTTGAAAAGGTTAATGTAAATTTAATATGCTGAAAAAAGATGCTGTTTGGCAGGCTCAGATCTTCGCAGAAATCTTAAATCCTGGATGCTGCATCTTCCTTTGATGCACCTACAAGGAAGAGCTTTCCAACAAGCCATCACTGACAAAAAAATAAAACCGACTAAACTGTGAAGAGTTACTAGTCTCAAGTAAGCAAGTTTCAAGATCCTCACAGATTTTCATTTAGTACCGACTAGAATAGAAGTTAATGTAGAACATCAATTAAAAAACATATAGTTTGCTTTACTGTAATTAATGCAGCTGTGTTGCTGTAACTCACACAAAACTCTGGTCTAGCCCGTTAACTCTACAGTAAACCAGCTGGCCTGCATTTAAAATTAAGCAACATTGAAAATATAATTGTGAAAATGTTTGTCAGAATCTCTGCCAGTGAGCTTTAGAATAAGTGCAGTCAAGAATAGATGGTGACAGAAAATGGAAGAGAGGAACTTGTTGTCATGCTGTTGGTCTGGTGCTGGTTGGACAGGAAGTAGTGAACTCTGATTTGGACCAGGTCACATGACTCTGCAGCTCGGCTCATCTTTATTCTCTCCGCTACTTGACATGCACAACACACAAATTATGTGCACGTTTGTGTTGGTGCGTGTGTGGGTGTATATTAGTCACCGATTGAACTACATGCTCAGAATATGAAACTGGATGTGTGTCTCTCTGTGTGTTATGCTGTATGAATGTGTATATTTTCGGTGTGTGTGTGTTTGTCCAACAGTGCCATTCTCAGTTCATGAGTGTAAAATGAAGTCAGTGTCTCTACAATGGCCTCTTTAACATTAGGAGGCTGAAGGAGAGTATTGTTCTATTCATAGAGCTCTCTATGAAACCAGTCCAGCAGAGGGAGGGAGACTCGGAGCTAGGACATCGAATTCATATGTCACATCCCATAGTAAAAACTTGAAATGTGCATTATGCAAGTACCCGAGGAAACGTAGAACAAATTAAAATAATTAAAATAATGTATTGTCATGGTGATAAAAACCTCGTAAAAAATGACACATACAAAGATGCACACACACCCTATGCTGCTTTGCCTCACCTGCTTGACACACCTTCACTTGACACCTGGGGCAAATGGATTAACCATGGGATATAGACATAGATAGTGGGAAACAGGAATGTGAAAACAAGTTGTAAAAATTGAAAAAATTGCATTTAGCCCTGACATTTGTTGTTTAACTGCTTTATATCCAGTTATGATTATAATTAGATGTTGGTGCTTGTTGGAAACAAAAAGTCATCCATTTCTCTTACAAGTGGACAACACCTGCTTACCTCAAAGCCATGCTTCTCTGACGGCACCCAAACCAGCCTCTTAGCTGCCCAGTCGGCCTGGCTGGCGGCAGGGAACACAGAGTTGGAGGTGGGAGACCCTGGCCCCGGCCCCGCCCCTGATGACAGGAAGCGGACCGTGACATCGTTGGCACCGCCCCCCGTTGGCCTGGACATGGTTCTACTGGCACTGGGTGAGGAAAGAATGGGAGAAAAAAAGGGAGGGCAATAAAAATGTGAGCCTGTGTTGAGCCATTTTTTTTTGTCACAGGCCTTGTGGCTGAAAACTGGAGCGCATTGTGTGGATGATGTAAAGGACAGCGTCGGACAGTGACACTGATGTGATACTGTGTCAAGATACACGCACACACATACTCCATGTGCACACATGCACACAAAAACGAAGAGCAGTAGTAGCACGCAAGTAGCATGCAGGTCATATCCAGCTGAGATCAGGGATGGCCTAATTGAAAGACACAGCAAATCAAGAAGAAGAAGGGAGGAAGAAAGTCAGAGATCGGGGGGGTGGAAGGATGGAGGGATGGAGAAACAGCGAGATACATCAATCGTCTGAGTAAACTGACATGACAGTGAGAGGGGGAGGGATGGTGAGGAAGAAGAAAAAAGGGTGGGATAGCAGTGAGGAGACGAGAGGATCAAAATGAACTGAATCTATTGTTAACTGAAAGAAAATGAAGCGTCCTTCTACTACAGGCCACTGGACCCTCACTGAGGACTATTGGAACCCAAATGTTGATTTGCCGCCTTAGGACCAAGAATCTTGTGAAAGATGAGGTGACAGTAGCTAGAAGTGGTTACTACTCTGAAAAACGAAGGCCAACTCCAGTCAGAGTGACTGTAGTACTACAACAGGATGTTTCTAGATTTGCTCTGACAACTAAGAAATAGTGTGCACCAGTGATTTCATCCCTTGGTGGAGGAGAACCAGTGAATCTAAAACTTTCCACTGAGGCTCGTAGGAATTTTTTCAAAATGGGCTAGTTGCTGCTCTGTCCAAGATGCCCATACTGACCATTCAATGGCAACTGTCGCCAGTGTAAAGTACAAATTGTGGAAATTTCACTGGTTCCAGCTTCACAAATATGATTATTCTATAGTTTTGTTTTTGTCTTCTATGATAGGAAACAGAATATGTTTGGGTTTTGAACTCATAGTCATACAAAAGAAGGCATTTTAAGATGTCGCCATGGTCCCTTGTGATGGGAATTTGTCATTGATTGCTGACTTTTAATAGACCAAACAATGAATCAATAAAATAATCAGAAGAGGATTCCATAATCAAAATGTTATTAATTGCAGCCGCACAGATAATAACCTACTGAATGTTAGCAAAGGACACTGACATTCATGCTGCTCACAATCTAATTAATGGACTAATTACATAGTAAAGAAATGATTAATTCCAAAATCTGACATTTTCCTTTTGAAAATAGACAGCATTTGTAAGTCGCTTTGGATAAAAGGTTCAGCTACATTAGTAAATGTAAATGTACTTGAAAGACAATTCTCATGGGTTAGTGGTTCATCTGAGTTGATGGAATTTGATGGGCTGAATTTCATGTGACATGCAACTTAGGAATGAAACCCTTCAAGAAGGCCAGCTTGTTGGTGGATTAACTTTCTGTTAATGAACTGAATGATGAGTTAGCTGGTGAAGTGTTGATATCAAAATCATGTGTCGGATCAACAGATCATTATGATGATTATGATCTTTTCGGAGGAAATGCCATTGATCTGACAGGAAGGCTTTTGTTCCTGCCCGTATGGTGTATGTGGTAATTATTGGCATCTCCATACCTCAGCAGGTACGTCATCAGGCATGATTCCTGCCATGGATCATCAGTGAAAGTTTTTTCCGCTTTGTCTGTTCACGACAGGGCCCTGCCCCCGAACCCTGCCTTAACCATACCTGTTACTCCAATTCCCAGACTCTGGGTGTGGAGTGAAAATGTTGACAAAAGAGTCGCCGCCACCACCCAGCCACTCAGTATGGAAAAAATGTGATCCCTCAGTGACATCAAACAGCTATACAGCTGTTCTTAAAGGCTGGTGTTATTCTATATTTTTCTTATGGTCAACAAATACCGCAAAAAGACACAAAACAACAATGATGTAGTTTGTCTTTATTTCCTTACGACTTCTCTACCCTGTGTTGCACTCAGACCCAAGCCCATTTGTTTCTACTGAAGACATAAATATTTAAAAAGCTGGGCACAAATATGTAGTTCTGAGGCCTTTGATTTACTAAAAGGAAAAGAAATAGTGCATTTCTTGGGGACTATTTTCAGCAAATTCATTTCTTACTGTATTAAGTATTTACCTCACCCAAACAAGGAATGTGGGTTGTGTGAATAATCTACAGTTTCTATGTTCATGATAATGAAGCAACATGTCACCCAGTGGATCGATGTATTTTTAATGGGGAACCGTGAAGGTCTATGTACAAGGAATGAACTATATGTCAGGCTTTGACTACATAGGCAATCCATCATCATCATCATCAATTTATTATTTTTGAGAATTTTTATAGGTTTTGTTAACAATAAGATAAAAACAATGACCCCAGATTTATCCTTAAAAAATTAATTTGCCTACAAACCTAAGAGAAATCAAAACTACTGAAATGAGTGACAGATGTGGACATTATCTATTACAGTAAAATGGCCACAGTCACCATAATCTGCATGCAGACACTGCAGCTACAGTATAGGATGTTGCTGGGTCTCATCAATCCTAAAGATTGCCCTAAAGCATAGTGTTTACACACACAGAGAGACCTCACAGGTTGTCGCAGTACAGGCTGGACTGACCAGCGAGCTCGTCCTGCAGCAGCTGGAGTTGCCAAAACCTGACTGCTCTCCTCCATAGCAACACCCCGAACACTAAAGCAGCAGCCCTCAGACAATACCTACTGAGTTTTAACTGAGGTCATCCACTGCGGGGGGTCTTGTGGTGTGTGTGCATCTATCTATGCGTGTCTGTGTAATGAGTGTGTGGGTGCCTACGCGTGATTATGCGTGTGTTAAAAGGGTGGGGGAAGCTGGAGACGCCTTGTACTTCAGCTTTCATGCGAGGTGGCATTGCTTCGGTGATGAGATTGTGTGGCATCTGCGCACTGTAGCGGCCAGAGAGGAGAGGTGACATTATAAAGCCACTGGCTATGATAATTACAGTGCGGCTGCGGAGACGTACAGCTGCGGCGTGACCCCTAAAAAATTACCTGCATTTCAGGACCGTAGCTCCAGCACAAAAAACTGACGAGGCCAACCACACCTTGAACATAAGACATGAACAATCACATGGGCCCCAGCCTTTAATTGACTCTGTGAACTGCATTCATGTGGCAGCCACAAAACCAAGCCATTTTCACTGAGAGTAATAACTAGGAATTGTTATCACTGTTATTTACATGATCATATTAGACAAAGATCACAGTAGGCCTCTACATTATAATATATGAGTCGAAATCCCTTATAATGTGGCCATTAGACACAGTTTTCCTTGGCCAGACATCAGGTCATCTCGATGTAAGTCTCTCTTCGAAGACATAAATAAAGACCAAACCGGTATGAACGCCTGTAGTCCCATCAACGTTTCATTTTTAGGCGTTTTACCACCGCATTTAGAGCAACCTAGCGAGGTTAGCCAGCTACACTGAAATATGATACGTTCAGGATATTACACTGGCTATTTAAGAGTTGGATTAGAGTAAAGGCAATTAAATCTCTCACCTTCAGGTTCCGCTCAGAGTCGTGGATAAGGCTGTGGTGCGAGGAGAAGCGTGGTGAGGCTGTTTCGTGGGTATTTTCCTGCCTGATAGGTGTGTAGCCTACCGCATATGCGGCTTTTATCATTGCACCGCTCACTCAGCGGAGCCGCACTCACACTTCTTGGTGAGAATAAAACAGAGAGCAGTGAGGGCAACACGACGGCTTCAGCCCAGGAGCGGTGCTTCCTACTAGCGGGCCAACCAGGTACGAGAAGACGGTTTTTGGTCCAGCCTCAGAGAGAAATAACTCCAATGAAAATCTACAACCGAGAAGTAGTCCCGCCTCATGAATACGACGGGAACTTTCCGCCCCAAAGCTGGCATGAAACGTCTGCGGCGACGAATGGGGTTAACGGTGGCTCAAGAAGCTCCACCGTTAGCCAATGCTAACGGACAAAGGGCGGGGCTAACTGTGACTGACGTGTCGAACAGCCAATTGGAACCTTGCAGCAGGTGCCTGTGCGGCACTATCGCGGTAAAGTAGGGAGATTTGCGCGCCCTTTGTTTACCACTCAGTGGCAGCGAGTGTCGGCAGACACAGATCTGGGATCGGATTTGTATGAATCCCCATCCGCACACAACCGATGGTCTGCTTGGAATGATCTGACTCCAGGCGCGTGATTCAGATCATCCCAGAAAATCCTGAGCTCAAGTACTCGAGGTACCAGGGTCCTGGGGCAATGGGTAAACATTTACACCACTGTAAAAGCATCACAGGAATCATAGCTAAATCTTCAGAAATGCGTTGTAGCCTTAATGTGCCACATAGAAAACAATATTTACACAATTCAAAACATATAACTATGTTATGTATGACTGTATTAACTCTAAAGGAGCAAACTCCAACCGCTGATAAAGACCATGAGACATGTTTGAAAGCTCCGCAAAAAGCTAAAGTGGGCCATATAACTGTATTTATTTTTTCAAACTAAACTAAACATGTAGCACTAAGTGTCTAATTTTTGCAATACTGACCACAACCATAATGCAGATATCTTAAGATAAATATTTTGCAACATGAATATAATAGATTTTAGTAGGCTTCCTGTAAGTGTAGTTATGACACTGACAAAGAGCAGAATCAAGCCAAAAAAGATACAAAGAACATTGATATTTCTATATCAATGTTTATTTCTTTTATGTTTGACCATAAGCCATTTAATGGAAGGTTATATGTTGTCTCCCATGTTTTAGCATATAAGCCATAAAGGTTATTATAGGGTCTTTGCTAAGGGGTGTTTTATTCTTCTGATTTGTCAGCAGTGATAAGAGTTTTGCAGAAGCTAACAGGCCATTTTGACAACACAATACAAATAAATCAAAACTACTATATCTTATATGACTTCTGTTGAAGTCAGAGCTGTACAAATCAGTCATTACAAGATTTGTATAGTTTTATTTACATCATACAGTTTTAACATTCTTTCACATGTTCCTGCAAAAAATCTGAAAATGCGTTATTAAGGTTTAGGTACAGACTGTTAGTGTCAGTGACAGACAAGGTTATCAGTGAACATATATAGCCTATATGTATACACAGTATATATAGATAGAGAAAGAGATAGTTGTGGACATTCCTTGCACTTCCTTCTGAAACAAGATCTGGTGATTTGGTATGTGTCTATGAGTCATAAATCTCCAGCAGCCAAGTAATTGTGAAGACACTATAAGGATAATCTTCGTCTCTCAACATTTTGTAAAAATCTTAGTTAATCTCTGTATAATTACAGTAATATTACCTATATGTAAGTAGTACATAAAATCTAAATCTGTAAATGTAAACGCAGCAAAGATTATCAGAGCAGTGATAAGATTTTTAAAATGGACTGGCTTGCGATGTGAGCTACAAGGAGAATAAATAAAGAAACAACCAATAATTGCAATTCAGTCCCCGTGTTTTATTTGCTCAACACAGTTCAGTTTCATTTGGAAGTGCTCTGTGCCTGAGGCAGCTCTGAAATTAATTTCAATGTTGGAGCAGTTCTCTTTAGAAAAATAACATAGGAAAGGTATCTACAACTTTCATTGGTTTCATCTCACTTATTTATTAAAAAATGACACTATACTATGTATTTTACACAATGTATATTATAAATACCTACGATTTAAAAAATGTAGTATGTGTACTGTGAGTAGTGAATCCTAAGCAACCAGTTAAATTACCAAACAATCCATCTGTCTATTTCTTTCTGGGGTGTTTAAAAAGTGCTATCGTTGTTAAAGTGATGGTGCTGTAAGTTCAAGTTACATTTCATGGAAGTGGAGGAAAGGTGAACGACATGACCCCCTCCATGCAGCTTATAAATAGAACATGGTAGCCAAGAAGGAGAAGTGAAGGGAGGACACAAACATATAACAGCCTTAACACTAATTGTAATAGATAATATGTTATCAATACCTCAACACTCCTGAGGTAACCATGACAAAATATTTCGATAACTGAAGTCAAGCACTGCGACTAATGCAATGAGGTTAACCTGTTCTGATCCAGCAACTCTACTGTGCTGTTGTAGATCTTCATTAGTGATATTCATCTCCATATATTACTTTTGTGCAAAGTACAACGTTCCTACGATGTGCATTGGACAGGCTGATTATTGGTTAACACTTACAGTAATATAATGTTGCACTCCTGACACTGACTTACATTTCCATCACCAACACCTGTAATTTAACACTTAAATACTCCGGTGGCATAATTTACAGTACATTATTATAGGATCTAAAAGAAACAACAACATTCCAGGTGCTTTGTAATTTAACTACAAAGTGCAACTATTACATCGTGTACAATACAATGCAGCTAAAAGCATCTTTATGTTCAATGCATATTCATATTGAGACTTCTCAGTAACTGAGCAGATTCACAGTAATTCATTTGCATAGATATTTTTGTCTACTTAGAACAACGTACTGCAAATGTTACAGTGATTGAAAAAACACTCTTGAATAAGTAGCATTATGCAAATACACACAATAAAAATAAGCTGCAGCTGCAGATGACGGGCCAGTTGCAAAATCTCTGGTTTGTTCTGAAGGCACCATTCACTACCGTAACACATTCGACTTAGAGCAGGGTGTCAAATGATTTTATGGGCACAAAAAACTGAATAATATTCTATGGATGTGGTGTAGTTTCCAGTTCAATCCTCATCCACTTGTGCAGAAGTTTGACAGTTTTATTCTCAGAGAAGCAAGCCATGTCATCATCGTCAGAACGCTTCTCCCATTCAGTTCAGCTCAGTTATGTTCTTGTGATGTTGGAGGTTACTAGCCTCCAGAGCATTTACAGACCCCTTTTTCTCGATTCAGTCTAAACCATCAAGGGTCTTCCAAGTGTGCCAAGACATTTCAAATATAATGTTGTAACTGAGTTGTACTAGAATCCAAAAGCAACAGACAAGAACAATACAATATGAGTGTTTTTAGCAAAATGAAAAGATACTGTACATAGTAGTGCAAGAAAGAATGTATGGTAATTAACTGGTCTGGACACAGCAATTGTCATCTGTCATTGTATATCACTGCAGTGGTTTGAAAATGACAAACACTCATGCTTCCTCTGACCACATGGTCTTCATCTCAACAAATGAATAAATCAAATGTTACAACCAGTTAACTTTTTTTTTTCATGACACAGGGGGAAAAAGGGTCAAAAGACAAACAACGTACAGCACATAACATGGAAAAGAAACTGCTTTAAAAAGCTGCTAGTTTTCAGTTGCTTCTTCATGTTACTGTTGCCCTGCTTTGGCTCTACAAGTAGCCAAGCCAAATACTCAAAAGCATTCTCAACAGCCACCCCCAACCTCAAAGTATCACAAATTGTGCACTATCCATACTTACCATAAGAAAATAAAGCATTAAAATGATAAATCAGCATCATAGTGGAAAACATTCCTGAGTTGTACCTCAGAAGGTACACTACCATTCATTTCAGTAGAGGTCAAGAATTCCTGCAGATCATAAGAGTGGAGGTGCAGTTGCAGGTTAGAGCCACCATGGGCTGCTCTTGTATATTCTGCCAGTCAGGCATTAGAGCCAGATGGGTGTGTTGTGGTAGTGATGATGGGCCAGATGTGAGACATTGCAGACATTTGTTCAATAATTCTGAAAGATTGCCAGGACCAATCAGACAACTAGGTCAGTGTAGTAACCCATCTCCCCTATAGACTGATCCCAAACCTCTCACTGTTTCTTTATCTGTCCATATCTTTTCTGTTTCTCTGTACAATTTAATCTGTACAGTAGAATTTATCTAAATCCTGTAAACTTTTAAAAACTCTAATGGATCTCTTGACTTGCTCCTATTCTGGACTTTCTTCCCTCTCTATTCACTGTAAACGGTTTCACTTCCTACCCTGTTCCTGACACTGGCAAATCCATATATGTACTTTTAATCTGGTCTCTCTTGGACTGCCCATTCCTACCGTTCTTACCCTCTCTTTGTTCCTGTTCTTCCTCTAAACCTCCATGGCTACTTTCTGCCTCTTTTCCCTTAAGGCTTCCTATCCCACTGTATCAGTTGTAGTGGAGATGTTCTGCCAGAGATGGCCTTCGTGTGGGTGGGGAGGGACACTCAGGGTCTTGTTCAGGCTCATCATCAGGGGAGACGAGTTGCAGAGCCACTTCATTCTCATAGCAGAATGACGAGTGTGAGCTTTGTAAGAACTTCTGTTCTGCCAGCTCTTTAGCACTGCATGAAGGAGTGGTCGGGATTTCATATGTCCGATGGAAGAATGAGTAGTCCACCTAGCAAAAAAGGCACGAGACAAGAATTTTTTTTTTTACATTTAATTTGTATGGAAACACAACAAGTCTCAGTTAAAATAGCGGCTCTGTGATAAGGTGACCAGATTTCTGAAATGAAAACCGGGGACATTTTTGGTTTGGTGGTCAGTATGTCATTAAGAATATATTACGTATTATATATGAAATTTAAAAAGGGGTACCATTTCAGTTTTATAATCTGTGAAATATAACTCTTCTGAATGTAATCAAGTAATTTTGAGGTAGAAATAATCTTTCAGTCAATAAGTAGAGGCTGCAATCACTTTCTAGCAAGTAGAATACTGTATTTTATGTTTTGTTTTGGCCATTTAAAGGTATTTTAAGAGGTAAACAGTACTAGCTGAGTTATAATCTGTCAAATATAACTTCTGAATGAAATCAAGTCATTTTGAGACAGAATCTATCTTTCAGTCAATAAGTAGAAGCTGCAATCACTTTCCGAAAAGTGGAATACTGCATTACATAGGTTGTACTGGACATTTAAAGGTATTTCAACAGGTAAAATTTGGATTGGTTGGTACACAGCAAGTTAAATAATGTAGAGTCATAAGGATTGCAAAAGAGATCATGTTTATTTTATATATAACTCAGCAGTAAGTCATGTTAATTAGAGGCTACATTCTAATTTCCAACTATAAACAAGGATACTAGACATAGACCTACCAAACACATAATCCATCGGCAATAACAGGCTTCTATTATTACCAATAAATGTCATGCCTGGTTATGCTATAAACTGCAAACACTTATTTGGCCACAACTGTGATTATTCCGTAAAAAAAAAAGTTAAAGTATCACAAAGACATACCTTTGCTATTACCACGGACATAAAGTGATATTTATTTGCACGTTATGTCTGTTTGAACCAGATAAAAGCAGCTGTAGTTGTAAAGGGACTGGGCGATACAGCTTTAACATACTGAGTGATCACTTTTGGGCAGACAATTACTTTTCAGCACGACACCTGTATGCTCTGCTGTCCAGTCTTTCTAGCTACGTACATTCTGATTTCAGGTCTGTTAACACCTTATACAGTCTATGATTAACACGCAGTTAAAAACGGGGATATTTCTGGGGACAGCTCCAGATGGGGACAGGCCACCAAAACCGGGGACTGTCCCCGGAACACAGGGATGTCTGGTCACCCTACTCTGTGAGGTTGTATTTTGAACAGCTATGCTTTGAGCTAAATGCTAAGTCAGCATGCTAACATACTCAAAATAACAATGTTAACATGCTTATGTTTAGCAGGTCCATGTTTACCATGTTCACTGTTTTAGTTTAGTGTGTTAGCAAGCTAACATTTGCTAATTAGCACTAAACACAGGCTGTGTCCAAAATCACCACTCATTCACTACTCCCTACTACCTATGCAGGGACTTGTATATAGACGACTATATAGTGAGCTCACCAGCATAATGAAAATAACACTGTCGGACACTACTCCAATCATTATTTCAACGCAGTTAATTACATCATTGCCGTCGGACAATCAATTGGTGGACTGTTTTTTTCTATTAGCTGCATGATGGTATAGGGCTTGGTTAGTGATAACCATCAGTTGTACACTACTTTTCAAAATGCATTCTGGGATCTTTAAGACATTGACACTGACATTGTCATCTCTAGAGCCAAACTGCTACTGTGGGTAAAAACACACTTAATATACACACCCCTCCTGACTATAGTGAAGTTGCGGATACCACTTCTTACATGGCATTAAGGGAAGGGATGGATCCATATACTTCCTGAGTATCTCTGTGTATTTCTGACCTGGTAGCAGTCTTTCCTCTCGAAGAGCACTGGTTCGAATCGGTGTCCCCAGAGGATTTCAGAAGCCAGATAAGAGCTACGGCACTGTGTGGTCATGGCTGTGGCCTCAACCATGCCCTCGAGGATGACCACCACCTCCAACTCAGAGTCATTCTCCAGGGCCTTTCGGTCGATCTCAAAGAAGGGCGACTCGTCGTTGATTTCATGGACAATTGTCACTGGTGAGACTAAGAAGATACGGTCCGTGCCATTGTCAAAACCCACGTTGATGTCCACATTGTCAAGTGGGAGGAACTCTCCCTCTGCTGTCACCCTTGACTGGAGTTGGGAGTGAAGAATAAAATAAAGTCAATTTGTGGTACACAAACCTTTCCACATTAGATGTTGGGATGCTGCATAAATTGATTTTCACGTGTGGGAAAATATTAAATGGAGACTAGAAATGATTTCCAAAATGAAACAGGCGGACAGGACATGATCAAGTAAAAGAAAATTAAACTATTTAATTCTGGCTATAAAATGCAACACGATGGTATACAAAAGAGGTAATCCATGTGTCATTTTAAATACATCTGTCATCAAGTCTTCTGAGATAAACGTTGGAAATTAAATTTCTTACCCTGACCCAAAAGCTTAGCATTTGGTTATTATATTCAGTTGAATTTGACTATGCGAGTCTTTACTCATACCACCCATGCATAGGCTTATCACTCACCCAACCCTTACTATAGGACAATATCCAGTACCAGTATTTAGAATTGTATTTCTTTGATCCTCACAAAATTAATCCCATCTGCCCTGTCTGAACTTTGATATGGTCATGCTATTAAGAGATGCTGTAGCCTCAGTGTTCCACAGATTCTGACCCTCCAGACAACCGTTGCAGCATACACACGTATACACGCACAGCATTGATGATGACAAAACATTCACTACAAAAGGAAACATGTTTAAAACTACCCACATAAGGCCAGACAGTAAAGTTAGCATAAACATACATTTATTGCAATACTCATTGTGTCCCACATGCACAACAGGAAAAATGAGATCATGAAGGACAATGGTTCTCAGTTAAAGAATTGTGGGCAAGTTAATCCATGGCAAATCTTCCTAACCCCTGAGGGAAAATAAAACAAGCTCTCATTAACTACGGTCCACAGAATACAGGCCAGATGGTCTCAGCACTCTCTCTTTCTCTCTACTGCAACCTTTTTTCAACTACAGCTATCTCTCAGTAGCGACCTTTATCTTTTGATACATTAGTTTACTTTTCTCTCTTACTTTTTGTCTTTTAACATCCTCCAATTCACCTCTTTACTAAAAAAAGGGATAGGCTTGTCTCTTTTATCATTCCACTACTTTCTGACCTCTTGTTTTCATAATGGTCAAAATCCATCTCCCTTCACTTACCTTCAGTAGCTGTGCTCGAACGTGTGCCTCTACCAGGTGGCTCTTGCGTAGGTTTCCGACCCTCCACATCATGCAGAGTTTCCCGTCCCTCAGTGCCACCACAGCTGTTTCAGAGAACACCAGCGTCTCGTTGCGCTTCTTGGGCTTGGCAATCTTTGCCATGACTGCCCCAATGATGAAGGCGTCAATAATGCAGCCCACAATGCACTGCAAAACGACCGCCGCCACCGCCAGGGGACATTCTTCGGTCACACTTCTAAATCCGTAACCAATGGATGTCTGTGTCTCCAAGGAGAATAGAAAGGCCGCCATGAAGCTGTTCACCTGGAGGAAGCACGGCTCCTCAACCACTGCCTCTCTATCAGACTCTCCTCCAGACCCGGCCTCTCCTGATCCCGGAGAGGAACCTGAGCTGGGGGTAAGCTGAATGGAGAGGTCCCCATGCATGGAGGCAATGAGCCAGAAGGCAAATCCAAAGAGCAGCCAGGAGAGAAGGAAGGAGAGGGTGAAGATGACCAGCATCCAGCGCCAGCGGATGTCCACACAGGTGGTAAAGAGGTCGCTGAGGTAGCGCTGGCCCCTCTCGCTCATGTTGACAAAAGTGACGTTGCAGCGTCCGTCCTTGCCCACAAAGCGTTGTCGGGGCCGGCGGCTAGAGCGCCTGGTGTGCCTGCGGCTAGTAGTGGAGGGGGAAGAGAGCGAATCCTGGGCCAAGGATGAATGGCTTTTCCCTCTTCCTCCTACACTACAGCCTCTTCCACTCCTTAGACCTGAGCACATTCCTCCTGATCTCACCCCGCCTTCTCCTGCGTCTCCTCCAACTGACTCTCCAATGGCACTCTGCCTCCGTGCATTGTTGGTGTTGCTCTGGAGAGGTAGAGTTTTGCCGTTCAGGGCATGAGTCGGGGAGGGGCTGGTTGGGGTCCCTGACCCCGTCGGACTGCCCCCTGCCCTAGCCGTGTCTGCAGCACTCTGTGCCAGCCTCATGACTTCCTCCTCCTCCACTGGCCCATCCACCACAGCACTGAAGCGGCGTTTCACGCGTGCCGCTCCCATCATGTACTATAAAGTCCCCTCTCTCTTATGGAGTAGTTGACAGTTAATTAGTATTCCTTAGTGTGCCTTGATTTTATTGTTGATGTAGTAATTAAGCACCTTGATACAGTCAATTTAGTGTGTGATGCTAACAACACAGTCAGTCTTTCAGCCCTTCTTAATGAAGAGAGAATTGCAAGTCTATAGTGGCCAATGGTAACAAGAGGATAATTCCCACCAAGGCCATTGACAGGTCACTTGTTTACTTTCCTCAACGTGTAATGCTGTTTCTCAGTACAGTCTATCCTTTCAGTGATAGATCCCTCAGCAAACAAAGTGGGCTTTCTTGAAGTAGGTTCACAGTTGCATTCATTAGCAACCAATGTCCTTAAATCATACTCACTAAAGAAGCAAAGGTGAGATAAAAGGAAGATGTCAGCAGCAGCCAAAGGACTCTATTTCTGTGACCCCGAGTTTACAAGACTTCTTTTGACAAGGAGTGGTAGGAAAGGATTGACTTCAACAGACATCGAAAAAGCAAGCAGGAAAGGTTCTTTTCAGTTCAAAACAATAAAAGGGAAGCCTCATGCAGGCATCGATTCATGGAAGCTATAAACTAATAGTAGAAAGGAGTAAGAAACATGTAAAGGATGTGCAAATCATTACAAAGTGCCATAATATTGTGACAAGATGCATACAAGACAAGACAAATAGAAATTAACTTCAAATGGGACTCGGTGATAAAATCATCTCCAACATGCAGTCAAAAGCAAAAAAACATGCCACTTCTTACGATCAGGCTGTTCCCAGTTTTACAACCACTTAGTATGGGCATGAGGACACAAAGAATGCAGTGCTTTCAGTACATCAAATGTCTGTCATTATTCATCATTCATAATTCAGTGCCAACAGGTCTTGGATAAAGCACTGACTATAGTACACACAATTTAATAGGCAGATTCACACAATGTATCTGTTTCTGCAGACTTAAACTAGTCTCATAACCTTTCTTTACAAGTCAAGGAAATGTCACTTTTGCCCAACAAGAGGGTCCAAACTGAAAGAACCATGTTTTGTTTGCCATTTCCTGTTCAATCATGTCACTGCTTTAACAATTTCACATTTTCTATCTAACGGTCTGCAAATCTGTTTAATGGCCATTGTCAATTTGGTGAAGACTTGTTTTGTGTACAGACTGTTATGTGGATAATATTGAACTGAACTACACGGCTGTTAGCAATCACCAGCAACAGTTAGACCAGACATACCTCATTACAGCTCAGCGTTACGGCTGAGAAAGCGCCTACGTCTGACAAAAGATAAGAAGAAGGGAAGAAAATAACAGAAAGAGATTACTTTGATCTATCTCCTATATTATTTGTGTTTTTAGATTTAAGTAGAAGATTTATATGGAGGGAAAAGGTAAGCACACAGGTCACCTGAAGAAGTTTTCTACATTTTTCTGGAGGTCTGGCACCAGAGTTGATAGATCAGGTGTGTGCCACAGAATGAGAAGAGCTGAGAAGTGCTGAGAACAAAGATGGCTGAGGGCGTAACTGTTTGAACAAGATACAAAATAAGACAAAACAAAAGGCTGCCTGAACAACAGAGAGAGTTTACGCAAACAAAACAGAAGATTATCATGTAGATGCAATGTGAAAATGACAACTTTGAAGAGTTTAAATAAAGCAAAAGAGAAATGTGCAAATATATCTGGCAATGGAAAGGTATGCTTGTAGTGTTAGTATTCACCTTGCCCAACCATCTCCAGAGAACTCTACTACTGATCCTGACAAGTATACAGAGTATTCATATCCAGTCTCTTTGGAACAGTGGACAGAATTAAACCTTCAACTCTAACTCAGCACTGTGGCGACTACAAAGGGAACTGAAAAACAATAGACACTGCTGTAACTGTACAAATAGAGAAGAAGCGATGTCATTCAACCAGTAACAGCAGGTAAGACAAAAGTCTACAACAAATGGAAATGGGGGAAAAGATCCCTCCTGAAGTGTGAAGTGACATAAGGGTTCATCTTCGCTTGTGTGTTGACCTCCCTTTATGACACATGCTCAGTAAAAGCATTGATCTTTGGGGGAAACAATCTCAGGAGATCACAACGAAAGAGTCTGCAGGTTTTTCGGTTCTCTTTACTGAGATTGGCTGTCTGTTTTGTATCCCTTTGCTTTAGGGGCTTCTTGATTAACACGCTGCCAGTCTTGAAAAGAAATGAGAACAAACAAAAAGAGAATGACAAAGTTAAGGTAAATTAGTTATCATGCTGTATAAGATAAGTATCTAAATGGATGGTGATCAGAAACCTACCGTTTGTAGTGCATCTCTAAGGTTTCTCTCATGCAGTCCTTGGATTGTTACTGGATTATTTTATCGGTCAAATGCTGTGGACAGTCTTAACTTGAAGAACCAAAAGTTTGTCACGACAAAGGGAAACCTGTGGTGTACCTGTGGAATGATGGAGCCTGTGAAGAGAAACCGAGAGAAAGAAAGTCATTTTCCATTCTTCTGTCTTTGGAAAATAATTTCTGTACATTTAGGACTTAATTAAAAATCAGTATCTGTATATATGGACACTCTGATGATATGCATCACAACATATTTCTATGTATTGATGGATATAGTATTTATTAGGAAGAACTGGTGAGATACCAAAAAGGTTATCCTATTATGAAGAAGCCTCTGATGACTAAAAAGGTCTGAAGTGCAGGGGCCTTATATATTTATTATATTTGGGTCAGGAAACCAAGTGGTACAGTGTAAGTAATCTTTAAAAAAAAATAAGCAATAGTGGATTAAACCAAATAGACTGCAAAGAAGTGCAGGGGATTTTCTTGGACAAATGTTGAGACTGGGATTGTAGCTCAGCTAGGGGACTGAGATAAACCAGGACTCTGGGTTGGTTTGGGTGAAGAGGCAGTATGTCTTGCTGTGGAGATGGCGATATGCTGTGGATTACAGCTGCGCTCGTGACTCCGGTAATCTCACCGATGATTTTGCTAATCCTTTGACGACTTACATAAGAGCCACTACTGTTACAGAAAGTGGCAAGAATGTCTTTAACACACAGGTAGGGTATGTTATGGCATACACAGGATTCAAGACAATATGGGAAAAAGTAGTATATTTCACTGAATCTAGCAAATATCCTTGTGTCTATTGGAACTGGTCAATACTTTCAGTAGAATCTGAGACATAACCACATGTTACACATGGATGAATAAATAAACACTGTAGTGCATCTTCCTTGGCCAGTGTAATAAAATAGAGTCTGCTATTTGCTGTCCCCAGATGTGGCAGACCATCATCAGTGGTGGAATGTAACTAAGTACTACTTGAGAACTGTACTTTTAATTTCAACGTACTTTACTTGAGTATTTCAATTTTACGCTGTATACGTATCCTCCACCTTGTCACTATAAAAAGTAGTTAAAATTAGCACAATCTTAAACAACAACAGCAGTAAAACGCAACATACACATTAATGTGGCAGTAATATTAATCCAGAAACAGGAAACATTCATCTGCATAACAAGTACTTTTACTTTTGATACTTTAGGTACATTAGAAGTATGATTTTCACAGTGTGATATTGCTGCTTTTACTTAAGTATTGTAAAGTATCTGATTTCTTCTTCCTCCACTACCTTATGCTTAAACAGTGTGATATGCTGCTGGCAGAGAGGGAAAATTATTCTCATTTCATGCTTAAAACTGCTGTTAAACTTTCTATAATTTCTTATTCTATCACTACGGTAGCTTCAGCATTGTGCAAACACCATAAAGGTAAAAATACCGCAAACCAGTCTAGTATTTAATATGTTCAACCAAAATGCATGAATGTAATAAAATAACTACTAGGGCATTATTGGAACTCAGACTGGACCATATGGTTTTATAAGGTCTTAATTTCAAAAAAATTATATAGATAGATTATTCCAGGCTTGTGTTGCTCAATGTTTAGTTAATTAACAAATGTGTGAGGAGGCAGTCCTGACCTTGGGGCCTCCTGCCAACACTACCAAATGAACACGCTCTCAGGTCAGCTATCTCTGTGATTGGGTTAAAGTGTCACCGGACAACTGACAGTAGCTGGAGGAGGTGATGAGAGAAGTGTGTGTGTGTGTGTGTGTGTGTGTGTGTGTGTGTGTGTGTGTGTGTGTACGTGTGTATAGGCAATGTGAGGTTGCACGTGTCTTTGTGTTGCCTAACCTTATCCTGGTGTAAGGTGGCAAATGTCTCAAGTGATGTCTCATGTAAGAACATTCATTCAGGGGTGTCTGGGAAAATAGTGTGCGTGAAGTTCACACTGCCAGGCCCCCAGAGCAGCATCTTATCTGCAGTCCCGCTTTATTTCAAGGTTGAAACATATGCTGGGACTACTAATCTTTGTGGGCCCTTTAGCCAAACAGATCTCTAGAGAAGTTGCTGCTTTTTCCTCATCTTACATTACATATTAAATTTAATATCTTTGGATATTTGACTGTTGGTCATACAAAACAATCAATCTTCATCATCATATTGGACTTTAGGAAATTGTGATGGGTATCTTTCCACAGTTTTCTGACGCTTCATAAATCTAACAATTCATCAAGAATGAAAAAAATCACCATTCTATAATAGGGTTAGGTTTGTAGCTGCAAACTGGCTGCTAACTCATGATACATAATAACATATTCCACCTAGTTTAGCAGGTAAACTACCTATATCTTAACCTAGGATCCTGTTTATGCCATATTTTTTTAAAATGACAATTTTCTTGTTCAGGGGTTTTCTTTAAAAGTAACAGAAGCATTTACAAGTGATACAGCACACATGAAAGTATGAACAATATCTATGACTATAAGACTATAATACATTTCATGGTGTTTTTTTTAACAGCTTGAAGAAAAAGAGCAACGCACTAGTCTTTAAGACATGGGGGCATTTATCATAACTACTTACTTACTTAAAGTCTGTAGGGGGCCAGAAAAAAGATTGGGAGAAAGCTGAGGTTAATGCTTGTGATCTATTAAGAGCCACTGTTCACTCCAAAATGCCATAATCATAATTAACTCTACTAATTTGGATGTACTTAATTTGGAATTACCTAGGAGAATCTAAATGAAGTGATTAACATCATTAGCATAAACTAAAACTGTATGCCGGGTCAGTAATTCCTCTTGCATCAATGTTCAGTCTTCTAGCAGCAGATAATGGTTCCATAGCCAATGCAAATAAAGTACTGACTGGGCAGCATTCATTGGCAAAATAATAATCCAACAACTGCTGAAAACATAAAACACTGCTAATGTGCTTCATCATTCAGGTTTATAGATTATTTTAAATTAGCCACTGATACACAAGCAAAACTAACCGTAAACAGCTGTAGGGGACAGCACAGACAAAGTTGTTGCCAGTTTAATGGTATTACAACTCTCACTGGTTTGAATTAGCAGTAGCAAGACTCCTGCGTATTACATAAACCCCAAAAATGTACAGCAAAATATCTACCTTGATGATCACATTCATAATTCTCCTGCAAAAGCAAGTTAATCCACTTTCACCACATATCTTTCTCTCGTTGTTTTCATTTTGGGTCTCTCACCATGGATTCTCTGCAGTACCTCCCTTGTCCTCTTTCTATCCAGATTATTTTAACATATTAGGGTGTTATGTGGCCAGATTTAAGTTTGCAGGAATATGATTTCAGTGTCATTGAAAAAGGCACAGAATAAACTATGTTCTTCATTTTGGTTTGTCACTCTTTGTGCCTCCCATGTCTCATGAGATCTGTCCTATTTCCTGTTTGAGTAAAATAATGTTATGCTGCTCCATGTATCATTAAATTTGGTTGGACGGTTTCATGATGAGTTTAATCAACACTGTGCACACAATGTACACAAAACCCTCAAAATAACCATCTATATTGGGATGGCACAATGCAAATATAGAGAAATCAATACTTATTATTGATCAATGGGGTTAGAAACCAGGGCACAGACTGGGTCTCTCTCACAGTGTCACATGGGTCTCTGTCTAAGGCCTATTTTCTACATCTCTTTCATTTCTTTATTATTCTATAAAATTTTACATTACAAGGCAGAACAATGTTAATGCACAGAAAGGGACAACTGCAACAGATGTAACAGCCTGAAAAAATAAAAAACCAATGCACAGTGACAATACAATACTGCAGTGCCCTTTTACTGATCAATATAGTTTGATCTGGTGGTATTATTCATATGTTGCAGTAGCTGCAGCTGACAGTTGCAGCACCAGAGCACCAAACAGTAATGGATGTTGCGTAATGAAGAGTAAAATTCAACAAAATAGTAGATGATATTATATTTGAGAAAAGCATTAAAATTTAATTAGAAGGGTCTCATTCATGCTGACATTTGCAAACACATGCTCATTTATATATCTTAAAAGATTTGAAGTTGAATATTTTTACTGTTGTGTTGTATATTATCTGAAGAAAATTACAGAAACAACTTACTTAAAGAACTATTTCATCAAGTGTTTTAGGAAGTAGCAACACACACACACACACACACACACACACACACACACACACACACACACACACACACACACTCTTATGAGAACATCTGATAATAAGCACAAGTGTGGAGTCATCTTGGCAGCGGGCCTTATTCCATCTAATTGAAACTTTTCCGCTGCCTTCCCTCCCTCAGCTGTGTGCAGTGATCAAGGTCATTGTGTGACGACGACCAAATGTTAATCTGGGGAGTTAAGATGGTGCAGGTTGCAATGTGCTGGTTAAAACTCTGCACAACTCTTTTCTAATTACAGAAATACTCAGAACATACAGAAGTACGCAATCAAGACTAATTAGACTCTTTAAATTAGACCCAAGCCACGTTTTCTCTTCACCTCAATTATTCTTTCAGAAATATTCATATTCATCGCTACTCACTAAATAAGTGCCCTTTTTGTCAAATTATTATCATATAGAAACACTTTTCATCTATTTAGAAAGTCAGTTTCAATATAATGCATGACCACAGAGCTCAATCAACACCACTCTGACCTTTCATCAACAACAATTACACCTTTTTACTTTCTCAAGGTTAATATTTATTACCTAGCTATAACTGTTATATTATATTCCCTTTAATTTTTATTTTCTAGTTAGCCATTGTAAACTTGCCACACCACTGCACAAGTCCACAGCATGCCTTCATCAGCTGCTTTCACCCCATCTGCCCAGGAACTGCCCAACAGAGTTATGCTATTTGCAGATATTTGCATTTTAAATGCAGTATAAACAAGGCATGTAAATTACACGGTACACTATGGCGTTACTGTCACACACGTTGCTCATGACAACAGTAGTTATGTGATTACACACAGACAGACAGACACACACACACACACACACACACACACACACACACACAAAACAACATGTCAGGGCTGTCCTGAATGTCTGGATCTATTTCTAAAATGTGTGCATGACTAAAATAGTCTGAGAAATGCATTTAACACCCTTCAGGAAATGGAAAGATGGGGGTTCCTGATGTTGTAGCATCATTCTTTGGCTCCATGGCATGCACACTGTGTCATAGTTTGAATGTCAAACAGTCACAAATTGGAAAAATGTCAAATACAGAAATCATGCAGTTAAAATGCATGGAGTGAAATGACACAGCCATGCTGCAGTTGAATTGCAGTCTTGGTGTAATGTAGATTAAAAGAACATATGATAATAATATTGTCATATTATTTATCTCTTTACCTCTTTTGAAAATCTTAAATTAACTTAAAAGTTACATTGTACCTTGTAACGTTTCTTGACTGTAAAAAGGGAAAAAACTGCTCTTTCCACTGTGCAGTGTCTTTAGGACTACAACCAAAATAGTGCATGATGTTTGAAAGACGTTGGTGTTTACATTGCAGGGAGGGTCAGCAAAATTGAGTTTTATTATGGAGGTGTAGGATCCAGGATTTTTGGACTTGACCCATAATAGAGACTAAAAGCAAGATATCTTGGCCTCTGCAACACTAATTTTCCAGTCATTGTCCAGTTTTTACTTACTTACTGTTACTTTTGTCACTGTCATTTGTCACTCCCATGTCCACTAACTTTATGGAGTGCCCTTTATCATCATTAGCTATAACATTGACTTGCTAACTCCCTTGGATGCCATGCATTGGTCAAATAACTTCAACTATGGTCAGCATCAAAAAAGATTCCCTGCTGAGTTGACTGAGGCTTAATTTACAATACAAATCAAGTCTTTGGAACCGTGAGCGCCTTTTAAAAGAAAATCATCTTTTGTCATATGGTCCCATCTCTATATGCCTCCCTGAAAAACCCACAGTAGTGTCTTGCCACAAGCACAAAATGTTTGAAATCTACCTTACTATCTGTGTACTACTTACTGTACATTTAGCAAAGAAACTATGAAAGAGCATCCTTTAAAAATCATGATATATGTGTCCTTTACATGTATTTCAAAGCGGTTTGTCTCTCATTTGTTCAGAAGTATTACATCACTTTAAAACCTATTTCAAAACACAGCTGTGTTTTCCATCAGTTCACAACTCACAAAAACAAAAAAGGATTAAAGTCTAAATCATCAGCACACCAAGCTCTCTGGCCACCTTATCTGTTCTGTCATAGCTTCATTGCTCACTGTTCTCCCAACAGCAACATCTACTTATTCTTTCTTCATCCTCTGATGGTGGCTCTCTGTTTATGAATCATATCCTATTCTTAAATCCCATTTGGAGCCAATAGCAAATCTACAAAGCAAAATTCATAAGTAACAGTAGGGATTTTAACAATGTAATTGATGTTATAAACACCAAAATGTTTAAAACTGCATCATATTTTCAGATTAGCTATTATGAGTTAAATCATGCGGTTACCGGCTTTTAAATTCCACTTTAAGTTCGCATGTGGCTTACAGACTACACAGCCATAAAAGAAAAAAAATATTTTTAAAAAATTGGTGTTTAGGCAACTTCTTGCGCAGTGATATTCATCAGCACTTACCTACAGTTGACATTTCCCCACGGTAATTCAGCGCCTGTGACCACGTCAGTTTACTTTAATTTCCCTTTTTCAACAGAATTTAACGGATGGTTAATTTAAAAAACAAAAACAAAAGTGCATATTTGAAACTGTGAGCGAGCTGTCCCGTGCTTGCGGTCCTGTAAGCTGTCCGCGAGCCCTCAGGTGGTGGATGAGCGCGCTCACGTCGAGATGCTATCTAGACTACCACGCGCATCTGCGGACTGCAGAGTGACCTTGTCACTCCATTCATCAATGTTAACAGTTTATATGTGTAATACACGCGGATTATTGATCCGGATTACCCATTTTTATTATTTTAGTTTATTTTTAAACAACACAATGTTACACGAATTGCTAATGAACTAAGTAGATATTTAAAAGTTACAGGTCTAACAATGATTTAATCTGTTGTTTAATTGTTGTCTATTACATAATGCCTCATATCTTACTTTCCATTTATATATTTATAGACTAATAAAAGATATACAACCTTTTTTACCCTTTAATTAAGCTCTTATTTGTGTTGTCTGTGCACTTTTAAATGTCAGGTTACAGTTCTGACAGACTGGACTGACATGTTAGATTGCTATAAGAAAAAAAAAAAAAAGGTTGGTTCTGACTGTTATAAAACTACTCCAAAGAAAGATAATATCATTTGTATTGATAAATAGTGTTAATAATAATAATAATAATAATAATAATTTCACTGAATTTTATGTGGGGTTTTTTTTTGTCTGAGCGAGAGACTTATGTAGACATATATACACAACAGGGTTTGGCAATACTATGCTTAATTATAGTTATGCCAATAAAGATTATTTGATGTAAATATGAATTTGAAAACCAGGCAGACAGACAGAAAGAGAGACAGTGACCAGTGACTATAGCCAGATTACTGAGTTACCTTATTTGTGTGTGTGTGTGTGTGTGTGTGTGTGTGTGTGTGTGTGTGTGTGTGTGTGTGTGAGAGAGAGAGAGAGAGAGAGCGACAGTGTGTGTTTACTAATACTTAATCTGATTTAATCTCCGTCAAGGCACCCAAGAAGTGACCTATGATGTCATGAGCTCTGTCATTCTATGGAAATAAGGATCAGCTCAGAAGACCACTGAGGACAAACGGCAAAGAAGCGACGTAATGCAGCTGCCACAACATCCAACAACATAAAAATGTAAACATTTGGATATCAAAACTGTGCATTCACTGTGCATTTATGAAAAACAACTTTTTGTAATTGTTACCACTAATCTATGTAGTAGATAATCCTCATCTGTTGGTTTGCAAAATATGTTGACATGACAATAAACTAGATCGATGTCACATAGATTATAACTCCCTCTGTCCTTTTAAATTGCATAAGTGTTTGTGTCAAACACTAATTGACCCATGGAAAACTGTCCGGGAGGAGGGAACAGAGGCAGAGAGAGAGAAAGTGGTGTTGGAGGGCATGATGATGTCAGACTTTGTGAATGATCTGAAAGACATAAAAGAAGGAGACTCTATGGTCCCTTTTTTAAGCTGTATATGATTGCAGCACACATGGGACAAACAGTATCTGCAGATATCCTGGTTTTGGTTTTGTTTACTGGTTGTTGGGACAATGTTCAAACATGGCAGAAAAGTATCAGTTAAAAAGGTTTTTCTCTGGGATTGAACACCCCTGATGATACCTAAATTCTCCCAATGAGAAGGGGGTCAGAGAGGAGACGTTACTGGGTTTGCCAGGTTCAAACACAACCAGGGACATTTGTTGCAAGTTCTTCTCAAATTGAAATAAGAAAAATAAGTTACTTTATTTCCAAAGTTTACATTATTTTAAAATGTGGTAAATGGTGACTGGACTTCCTTGTGTCACGTAAATAATGTTTGACTTGATGTGATTGTGGTAAACTGTTGCAGGCATTGTGGCCTAAAATAAACAAAGAGAAATATGTACATCTGGGACAAAGCTTTCCTTTTTACTCGTTTGACTTGTAATGAAGCATAAAAGCACCAATGGCGCTCATTCCTAACGGCTCAACAGTGAGTCAACATTTCCACTATTTAGTTTCAATCATGGGGTATACTTTGACAGAGTGGTACTTACAATAAATCATTCATATGGAAACTTGATATGATACTTACTTTACTTTTAGTTTTTATAATTTCGAGGGAATATCTGCAGCAGGGTGGCAGAGTGAGAGAGGTGGATCTTCCTTATTTTGTGTGTGTGTCCTCACTGAAGCATTGTATAATTGGTCCATTATTATTATTGGACAAGGAGTGGGGATGCAGTACTGATTCTGAGCCACCAGTGGGCAGATCTAAACTATCCATCTACAACGAGCCTGCAGTGAAAGATCCAGTGCCTCAGTTTACAACTTGAAAGTTTTCACTCTAAACTGGTGATTAGCTAATAAGACTGGATGGCTGCAGATTGACCAGAGGCTGCACACCTGGTTTCTGAGGGCATAATAACAGGCCAAGATTTAAAATCAGCAGCTGTGCAGACACTAAAAGAACAGAACTTCACACCTTCGGGTGTTTTATGACTTGAAAGATGCTAAACAGAGATAACAAGAGAGAAACCTGTTCACACATTTGGTTTTATTGAATTTTCCTTTAAGGTAAAAACGTTATTTGCGAACAGAGCATGTAACACATGGATTTTAGCATTAATGAGTTTTCTATGAAGTAAAAGTGTGATTTAAGTTCCAACACCTATTCATAGTAAATCATGGGGAAGGCATTAACTAAACTATCCTGCTTGGTAAGCAAGAGTTTCCCTGATGACTGGTTAGATGCTTGCTGCTATTATAACGTTTCACGTATGCCTGTGAAAGGCTAATCTGATTTCTGCAGATGGAGCAGCAAACTCAGGCTCAGCGTCGCGTAACAGGTTGCAGATTTTGTCATGGTCATACAAGGTTCAAATCTAATGCTCCGTGATTTCAGGGGTAAGCGCATATTGGTTCAATGTGCGGTTTCTGCCCTCTGCAGACTTACTTCGGGTGCCAACACAGAAGGAAGATCCCCTGCACTTCAGACAAAGGTGCTGCAGACTCACTAAAAACTAGATATCATGCTCAAAGTGTACGCAGGCAAACAGACCCTCTCATGTCCACTAATTGGAAGGTCATACCCAGGCTCCTCCAGTCTGTATTTCAAAATGTCCCTGGACAAGATACTGAATTCCAAATTGTTCCCATCGGTGTGAATGAATGTTTAGTTTCTTTGAGATGAGCAGTTGAAACTTTGCACAGCCTCTGCCACTGGTGTATTAATGTAGGTGAATGTTACATGTACTGTAAAGTACTTTGAGTGGTCAGAAGATTAGAAAGGTGCTGTACAAGTACAATCCATTTTAAGATACTGTTTACTTCTAGTCCACTACATTTCACAGTGAAATATTGTACTCTTTACTCTACCTGACAGCTTTGGTTTCTTCATTCATTTTCTGATTACACCAAGGGTGTCACTTTGCATGATTTAGTCTTCCCTCCTCTTTTGTCATGTTCACAGGGAGAGAACAGAAAACTTGGCCAAAAAGAAACTGTGTTACTGATTGGTGCTGCATGTTTTTGAGTCATTTTATAATCAGTACCTCATTTTTTAACCTTAAGTTACTTTTTTTGGACAATGCACATTTGTTTCTTCTATTATTCTATTATTGTGCAAATAAACCTTTCTAAAGGCATTTGTATTTGTTATTTAACTGCAAGCTATATTTTAGAACATTTTTAACAAATTATGCTTTAAAAAAGTGATTGGGACAAAATCAGCCATTTCAAAAAGTGGTGGGGACATGTCCCCAGCGTCCCCAGTGTAAATGACACCTATGGATTACACAGACAGAGAAAACCTGTACTGAGTTTTTAAAATGATATAGTGTTAAAGGTTGAACTGACAAATGGTAATATAAAGTACTGTAGTTAAAAGGAGATCCACCTCGACCAGCTACAACATATGTTATAGTCACAATAATCTGATATTTAAGTATATGATACAGTGGAAGTATTAAAAGGAAAGGACCCTTCGGCTGCCTAACAAGTAGGCCTACTTTAACATTTGATACTTTCAGTACTTTTTGTTGCAAATACATTAATACGTTTACTAAAAGTGTTAGTTCCACCACTGGGCTTACTATCATATAAAACTAAGAAAACCACAAAACATCTAAATCTGAGAAGCTGGAAACTGTGATTTTTTGCCAATTTTGCTTTAAAAACTGGCTCACTATCGTTCTTTTTATCAACTAGTCACTTCAGTTGTACTACTTTCCTCATTTAAACTATCACATCTCACTTACAAAAGGCAGACTGAGGCATGCACACTATGTGTTAAATATACTTGTTGGACAGGAGGAATGACTTCAGGCAAATCTGGGTTCATATCCACACTAAATCTCATGGTGTACTCACATAGTACAAACTCTTGGCTGGGTATTGAGGGAACAGGGGGAATTTGATGTGCAACTGTAAAGACAGACAGGCAGAAGGGGGGGGGGGTCAATAACTCATCACAAGTTGTGAATCAGCCTGGTCCAACCACCATTTGTCACACACAAGAAAATGTCCGCCCATTTAATCAAGACTACGATACTGAGGACGGTCAAGCAGCAGGCAATTTGTCAATTTGCTCAGAAATGGTAAGCTAATTAATGAAATGCATGAAGGAAAGCAAGGACAGCCAGGAAAAGGTTAGGGAGCTGATAATGTTTGCGTGTTGGGCGTTTGTCATGCTGTGACTACCCGCTGATTGGACATGTTACAGCCCCTTTGTTTGAGTGTGCTGCGTAAATAGATGAAGATATACAGAATAATAAAGACTGTTTTTTCAAGGGAGTGCAAGTGTAATCTCAAGGTCTGTTTTGTTTTGACATGCTCAACCTCTTGTGAACTCCCAGTAGCACAAAGACACCTCAGGGCCCAATTGGCCCCATGATACCAGAACAGTTGTGGTGCAGAAGCCCCAGAATATGACATGTGGCATATTTGACATGTGGAACATTTATATGTGACAAGCACGCAATTAGCGTAATGAAATACGTTGTTTTGGCAGGATGTGTAATCCACTCACTGTCACAGTTACGTTCTGTAACAGGTGTCCACTGTGATACTGCAGCAGACAACACTTTCCATTAATAAAACAATTATTACCTGAGGGTATTTATAAAGGGGATGTTGTTATTGAATAATATATGCTGTATATACAATTGTGCTGAATTGATTAATTGATTATATCAATTAATATGTATAAATAATCTGCAACAATTTAAACAACTGATTAATCATTTAAGTCATAACGTGTACCAAATGCATCAGTTCTTTGAGTTTTGTAAAAGTAAACTGAATATTTTTGCAATTCATGCAATTTAAATATGTCACATTGGGTGATACTACAACTGGCGACCTGTCCAGGGTGTACCCCGCCTCCAGCCCCCCCGTGACGCTGTACGCAGGATAAGCGGTTGGATGGATGAATGGATGGATGGGTGATACTACAGAGAAAAATAATCAGAAGATTAACTGACAATGAAAATATTAGTGATATGACCAAACAAGTAAATACTGATTGAGATGATCATATCTTAGCAAACAAATATAAATAACAGTTACTACTTTATATGACCAAAAAATCTAAGCTGATGAGTTATGTTCAGTCAGTTAGTCAGATTTGAAAAATGTCTTGAGAGACAAAAGAAACTGTCCTGCACTTTAAGACAGAATTCATTGGTCTAAATATGTCTTTTGTGACTATTGCCAGGACAGAATTGTTTTACACATCACAAAATACCAACACAAAACACATATTAATATTTCTACATTTTTTTATACAATTAGATATATTAATAATCTTAAAATTCCAATACGTATGCTTTCATCTTCACACCTTCTGTATTTGCATACTAACGATGGACACGGACTAATTAATAGGGGAAACACGTACAAAGCCCATAGCTCAGGTAAATGTAATTAGGAATTATATAATGTGTCTGCAGGCTGAGATTGATGTGTTCTGACAAAGACAAATAAACAGCACAGTACTTTCAAGACATTTTTAGACTTTACCCCCCCACCCCCCCCACACACACACCCACCCACACACCCACCCACACCCACCCACCCACCCACACCACACACACACACACACACACACACACACACACACACACACACACTTCTGTGCAAATTTGAGACAGAGATCACTTCATTAAACATTTTGCCACCTTGGCACCCTTGCCTCCTTCTCCATTTCTATTGAATAAGTGGTTTTACCTGTGCGTCTATTTGTATGAGGGTATGAGGGAGCTTCTCATGCCTCCATAGTCCCCCCCCTATTTTGGCATGCCTGTGCCAGGTATTTGTTCAAATTCCTCACACCCCATGGGGATAGGTATGCCCCCCCCCCCCCTTCCACCCATCCCTTTCTCGTCTTTACAGCCTGTCTCTGTCTATCTTATGAACGCCAGCACATGTATGAAGCAGCCAACGTGGACTCCCCGCCACCAACATGAGGCGTACAGCCTACACATTTTACTAGCTAGTCACAACTAAATCATTTCCAAGTTGTTCAGCCTCTTGAAGCTGGCAAACCACAGCTGTGGGTTATACAACGGCAAGGCCAAAAACAACTTGGTGGATAACAGGCAACTGTAAGTTGCTTTTGATACTACTGAAAGACCTGTTTATTCTGTGATGTTGTCAGAGCTAAAAGTCAGGCCACTTATTAGATCTACCAGGTAAACTTTTCTCTGACATGGAAAAATGTTGATACAGGCAAGTATACTGGATAATTAATTTCCTCTATAATTTAAACACCAAATCATGATATAAACCCCTTGTGGGGGTGTGAGGCTCCTTGTGTTTGAACATGAGCTGATGTGGTATTGACATTGGGTCAGAGCTGAAGTGTATTAGTTATTGCAGTGCGTCATGAAATGACAGCAAATACCAATGATACCCTGGCGCAGTACGTCTGTCTCTCTGCCCTTCCCACAGAAAGTCAAAACTCAGCAGAGTCAAATTTAATCTTACTGGATGAATCAACTGTGCAGTTTTATATTATGCTTACATCCTTTAGGTATCAAGCAAAAAGCAAAATCTATTCACCAACAGAATGTGACACATGAACCGTGTTAAAGACAATTTGGCTTTTGATTGACTTGTTTGTGTTATACTGTATGGGATTAACCCTATGACCTTTGGGTTACAGGACAGTTTTCTTTAACCACTAATCCAATATATACTCCCCCTATTTTACTCTGTGTTTATTAAGAAGTTGTAGATCATGGCCCCATGAAAAAAAAGGGAAAATCCAAAAAGGAACCACAGAGCACTTGTCATTTTTCTACTGATGGGACCATGCAGGTCTTAACCTTTTTTGAGCTGTATTCTTTTTTTCTTGCCATTTGGATTTGCAGGTGACCATAAATGCATCATTTTGTTGTTCGAGCCATTGACATTGTAAAAACATAGGAAACCATAGGAAAACCATAAAAACGTTCTTGCTAAATAAACAAGATCCATCACAATAAATTGGTAGCTTTCAAAACTAAATGTAGTGGCAATATATCTGTGACTTATACAGCATCTGATTATTTGCCAAAAATATGATGTTACGATACCATTTATGGTCAGATTCTTGACTTTCATGGAAAGTCTTTGCAGTGAGTTCACCGTGAGATTTATGCCTGGCTCAAAGGTATTGAAACCATTAGAGAGTCATCAAACCAAAATCAAACTTTACTGTAAATCCCCCCAAACGTGGCTATAAAATATCAGAATTCAAAACCCACACTATTAGCTTTATCTGTATTTTAAATTCTTTTACCACCCGCAACAACTGTGGCTTGGCTTTTTCAGTCATAATTTAAATCAACTGAACTGTTATTACCATAAACTGAATGTTTTTATGATGAAAGGTGTTTGTCTTCCATGTTGATTCTGAATATTCAACCACCAACCCCATGTTGCAAAAATAGACTCTTCAGATATCTTTGCTGTTATTGCTATCTACACTATTAATTGTTGGAGATTGAAGGTCACTGTTACATATTCTGCTGCAGTTCTGTTTCAAATCAATGAAAATGTGGCCAAAATAACTTAATATTAATATTCAGTACTAAGCGGGATACAGTAAGCCCCCTCACTCAACATCCCATCCCACCCCCTTCCCACTCACACACACTCCTCTCCGTCGACTCAGACACATCAAAGACAGAGCTGAGGAGACAGCGCTGCACTGAGCAGGACGGACGGCAGAGACCAGATGGCAAAGTTTGGGCACAAATACTCCGACCTCCACCTCCTCCTGCTGAAGATAAATAATCCTAATCTCGTTCCTGAAGAATTCAGGGGGCTATTTCAGAATGGAAACTGAGTTTTTTCACCAAACAAATCAATGGAATATTATTGTTACAGCATCAGGGATTAAACAGTTTTAAGGTAAGAAAAAAAAAAACAAATGTGTGCAAGTATTGGCTGATTAAAATATGCTCTTTTAATACTGAGTGGATTATGACTATTACTCATTTGTCTTTAGCACTGATTAGGGCCCAAACATAGGTCACTGCAGTGGTACAGGCTAAATTGGCGACTTATAAAATCACAATTTTTATTGGATGAAATAATGTTCTCTCTAAAGTTTGTGGATGCCTATGCTACATATTTTACTTTTTTAGTTATTGCTAACAATGTTTTCTTTAACACTGGCGACCTGTCCAGGGTGTACCCCGCCTTGCGCCCGATGTCAGCTGGGATATGCTCCAGCCCCCCCGCGACCCTGTACGCAGGATAAGCGGTTGACGATGGATGGATGGATGTTTTCCTTAACAAAGAATTATTAAGCTTTTGGGGTATAGGTTTATTGAGGATACACATTTGCATCAAATATTTCCGTTCAAATGGAATTTAATTGGAAACCTTTTACTGCACAGATTTCCGGATAGGAAAGGTCCTGTCACGAACACAACACTGTTAAAGTAAGCCGGTAACGTATGGAGGCGCGCGGCACCGCGGGGGTTTGGCTGCTCCTCTGCAGTTCAACAGTAGCTCTTAACCCCGGTGCAGCCTGGGTCACCATGTGTCATACCGGCCGTTTCTGTCAGGCACCCAGCGTCTGCTTTGATGTCGCTGCAGATTACATTTCAGATCGACAGTCTTGGGCCAAAAGTATTGGTCTTGTCTCACAATATTTCACAAAAGGCAACATAGAGTAGGCCTACATTAGCACCATCTTCTTCTGAAAAATTATAACTGGCTAAAAATTCCGTTCATCATTTAAAATAAAATAAAATATTAAATAAAGTCAAACAGTCGTCAGTCCTGTCCGCCTCATTGCGCTATCCACTGACTCGGCAGATTTGTATGCACCGGTCCTCATCCAAACCACTGGTGCGCAAGAACGCACAATATAAAAGCAGACATCTAAAAGTAAAACATGACTATTTAGACTTTGTTTGCATGAAACAACTTCTAAGCCATGTTAACTCCCTCACACTGTTTTGTGTCTCACTTAGCCTAATTGTTGCCCAACTGCTGACCTTAAGAAGGAGCAGGTTTCAGTCTGGATTTACAGTCTTCCATTGGAGCCCTCCTACTCTGAAAATCCAATTATTTTAGTAAAAGCATGACCGCCTCCCTGGCTCCCTGTGAAACTATAAAACTGTAAAGGATGCGCCAGCTAGAGCAGGTTTCTGCTAAAACATAAACCATTGTGGTTTGCTGACATTTTCATTTCTACATGTTTATTTGACTTTATTTACTTTATCTGATGTCAAGATTCATATAGGCCTACATAAATCTCTTTGCAGCCTCCTCAGAGATCAGTCACTTTTAGCTTTTTGTCCCTAACCTGTGTGTCAAACAAATAAAATCTCCAGAAACCAGAGAATATATAAAAAAGGAAAGTATTGATGTAACTTGACAAAATATCCTTTTGTTCTCCTCTCCACCTGTTTCTTCCTTTTGACCCAATCTACCCTGCCTCCCTCCTCTCTGGCTCTGCATCTTTTACTTTGCTTCTGAAACAGACAGAACATTTAACATTCACTGGCGGCATTCCTAACTTTCAAAACCCTTCTATAATTTCACATTATGGACCTCTCCGGCTCTTTGCCTCCATCTTCCCCATACACCTTCCTTTCTATTATCCCTAATTTCTCTGTGCCCTCCTCCTCTCCCTCCATCTCTCCATCACCCAGCCTGGCGTCCACAGCTCTCTTCTGCTCCCTCCTCTCCCTCCTCTCCTTGCTGGGTATCACAGGTAACCTGTACACTCTGGGCCTTGTTTTGAGGCGCAGGAGAAGTAGGAGAAGACGTGGAGCAACCTGCTGCCTGATGAGAGTACCTGTACCATCCTGCCTTGCCAACTCCTCCTCCCCTTCCTCCTCCCCCATCTCCTCTTCCTCCTCTTCCTCCTCCTCTTCTCTTCACCTGCAGGTGCTGAGCCTTGCTCTTGCTGATCTGCTCTACCTTTTTACTGCTCCCTTCATCGTGTACGACAGCCTGGCGTCCGGGTGGGCCTTTGGTGAGCCAGGCTGCCGCCTCCTCCTGAGCCTCGACCTCCTCACCATGCACGCCTCCATCTTCACTCTTACCGCCATGAGTCTCGACCGCTACCGGGCTGTGGCCCATCCCCTGCATACCTCCTCCTCCAACTCCTCCGGCCTGCTGCGTGTAGGTCTGGCCTGGGGACTGGCTGTGGCTCTTAGTCTGCCCATGATGATCACACTGCACCTGGAGGATGGGGAGAACCAGGAGGGCCAGCTGTGTGTGCCTGCATGGGACGAGCAGAGCTCCAAGGCCTATCTAAGCGTGCTCTTCTGCACTAGCATTCTTGGTCCTGGGTTGGCCATTGGAGCACTTTATGCTACTCTAGGCCGGCTTTACTGGGTGTCTCAGACCAGGCCAGCCTGGGCCAGTGGGAGCAGCACCGCTTCTACTCCCCGTGCACCCAAACCCAAAGTGCTGCTCCTCATCCTTGGTATTGTCCTGGCCTTCTGGGCCTGTTTCCTCCCTTTCTGGATCTGGCAGCTGCTGCCACTCTATAAGCCTGACATGCTGCGGACAGTACCAGTAGGGACACAGGTGACAGTGAATCGTATCCTCACAGGGCTGACCTATGGAAACTCCTGTGTGAATCCATTCTTCTACACACTATTGACAGGAAAACGAAGACGCAACCGGCAGACGCTGACATCAGCAAATCAGCTCTCCCGTAAAAGCAGTCCACTGCAGTAGTATGTGCGTCTCTCGAACAGTAGAGACAATGATATAAGTGTGTACGTGTGTGAAAAGGTACTGTATATGGATGCTTTATGAGTTCCATAACAGGCACCAAAGACAAATTAATGGTCTTTGGTGTCTTAGGTGTCTTAGGTTAGCCTGCAAACTAAGGAAACTGAACAATACTGAACAAATGATAGCACTTTGTATAGATCCTTGAAAGAACAAGATTTCCTATCGGGAGACAATCATGTGTCATCATCTAATGGATGCTTTATCTGCAAACCTTTTCCACTCTTTGGTCAAATGTGTTTTCAATTGCTGTATTAACCAAGTTTACATAATGATCGTTTTGTTTTAAATGTTTGAATGATATTATATATGTGACTATGGTAAAGTAATACAATGGCATTTCTAAGACAAGTGGTTACTACAGTAATTAATTGTGCAAAGTCATTTAACCAAATCAACAGATTAAATAACAGAGAAGAATGGTTTATTTAGTCAACAGAATTCTTGTCCTCCATTAAACCTGTACTGTATTATTACTGTAAGATTAGGAAAGCAAAGTCTATGCTGTATGTTGCTCATGCACAAGCATTTCCAGTAAAACCCTGATGCACTTCTGCTTGTTTTCAGAGAACTATCAAAGAAAATGTTTGTTTTTGAACAACTGGTTGTAACTGGTCAGGACCTTGTTGGGACATTTTTCTGAGATTATGTTTATTGACCTAATGAATTATGTTTGAGCGGTTCAACAGTCTTTTGTTTGCTTCCCCAGAACCCTGACATATCTAAAACAACTGACCTTTTTTATAATCATGACCTGCATGTTGGGTTTGAAATGTACTATCATGCAATGCTTTGCATGGCCTCACCTTGAGTTGATTTAACTGATGTTTATAGTAGTGCATAATATATAGACTTGAATAAAGAGTATGCTTTCTGTAATTCACTGTGTGACTGGATCTTTAACTAGGAAAAAAGATGAAAACGTGACTTCTTTTGGCAAAAGAACACAACATAACTAAAGATCACACGTTATGGTGTTCATAAAAATAATGCAATAAACAGATGTGAGAAGAGAAGAAAAAATATGGGAAACAACAACAGTGAAGAGGAACAGAAGGAGGCTGAAAAGCAGATGTAAAAGGTACAGTAAAAAATACAATAATTAAAAAATCCTTGAGTCGCATTCATACTTTTGTTTGTGTGTCTGTGTCAGCATGTCAGTGGCTCTAGAAGGTCTTCCCCATTCTTGTATATATACTTGCTGGCTGGTGTTTCTGTGTCTCCCTGTAGCAACGGCTGTCTCTGTCTGTCTGACTCAAAGGCTGCACTGTACTGTATCGCAAACCCTGCTGCTCTTTGACGCAGATGAGCAAATATTGTTGTTTGACAGAAAGGAGTAAGGATGGGAAGAAGGGACAAAAGAAGCAGGGTGGTATCATATGAGCATGATGCTTTGGTTTGAAACATGGTGTTCTTTTCTTGGGGGGGGCGCCAAGGGCTAGGGGTTTAAGATGCTGGCACGTGACTGTAAGGTCCCGGGTTCAAGTCGGGCAAAGGACTATTGTTGCATGTCACCATCCATCTGTCCCCCTTACTTCTAATAAAGACAAAATGGCTTTCAAAAATACAACTTGCTGAAATCTAACTCAGAACAACACTGGCTAAGTGTAACTCTCAGTAGATGCTTATTTAAATTCAATTCAGTTTAAATAAGTTCAAATCTAATTTGTTTTGTCTGTTTATATAGGCTTACTTTCTAAAGCTTACAACATGTCTGCATCTGTGCTGAAGGATGTGGATTTTTCCTTAAATCCCACCTTATTAAAAAGTAAACAAATGTGTTATGTTAAACAATTTGTGGAAGTTGTTTTTCTTTAAATGTAAATTTATAATGTAAAATCATTTTCATGCAAAGTAAAAATCTGAGATAACTTTATACAAAATAAACTACATGCTGGACCCCATTAATGCAAAACTAGAGAATCACACAATGTATTAATTCCCATTAAGACAAAAGCTACATTTTAATCTACATTAAAAACAGAAATACTGTCCTCTAAGGAAAGATTTTTTAAATAATATTCCAGACCACTTTGAAAGTTTGACACAGAATACAGGGAATGAAGATATATAAGTGCCACTGATCTGTTAAGTTTTTTTTTATTTCATTGCTGATTGTTAAGAGCCCTTCTCAAGTGACATTTCTGGGTAATGGTATTTTTCTTTATCCACCCAAATCACACAGAAGGACCATTAAGCTCTATTAAGTGTGGTTAACTGTGTTTTGACTTGACATTCAGTAAATTCTGTGAGAACATAATCCCCAGGTAATGGATTATTTGAGTGATTTCATGTCAAGTATAATGTAAAATGAGACTTTAATTATTTGAGGAAATCAAACTTAAAGTTTGTGTTTATTTATTTGCACATAAAGTGCATACAGGCAGGAACATTAACTAAGGAAAAGGAAACCCAAGGGAAGCGGGAGAAGCCATGAAGCACCGCGGGACTTTACTGCATTGGTAATACCAGCAGGTTGAAGAGACACCAAAAGCATTTGCCAGGGGAGTGCGTGCATTTCTCTGCACTGTGATGCCATTATTTCTGAGGCCCTTCTGTGGTCCTTGCAGCCTACCATGTGTTTCCATTTACCTGGCCTGGCTACCTCTGAGCATAACGTTCCCACTGCAGTTATTATCCAGAGCCCTGTGCCGTCGCACCACAGGGGCGCTTTAGTTGTAAAGTTAATGCAATATCCATCCACCTTTCACAGACAACTGAGGCCCACTCAGCACATTTGTCCATTTAAATGGAATTTCTTGCAGATAAAAGAGCCAACTCCATATATGTTTGAAATCATGAGCTCTCATATGAGAGTTGGTGGTTTTTGGACCCCTGGGTCATACCTAAAAGGCAGAAAATGGAGTGTGTAGCTTCTGTAAAGATGAAACCCTTCCAAAGAAGACACTTATGAGCAGCGTGGATATTAAAGCACAGTTCAATTTTCTGAGTCTGCATAAGGACAGGTTCTAAAACTCAATATATCAGATGATTAAGTCCTCCCTCAGGTCTGCGGGGATGACTGAGTGTTTGATAAACTTCAAATACGTGGTGTTTGGTCAACCCAACCAATTGGATGGAAAATATTGTCTCAGTTGGCAGGCTGGCCTATCTATAAACTTTGTGTTGTTTGTGTTGGTAGATGCCAGCACCGGCTGACTTGCTCCAATCATAACTTTTGTCCTCTTGCGCAACAGAGGCTTTTGATTTCATCCTGATATTGCAGGCAGTGTCTTCCTCTCTAGTCCAAAGGGGAAAACACAAGGACAAATATTTTCTTTTGGGAGCGACGCTCTGTTCTACCTGAGGATTTCATAAATCCAGCACATGTACTTTTCCTGGAACCACCAAGCATCTTTCCATCCAAGCACCCCTTGCCCCGCCTGTCAGGCTCTCCTCTTGACCAGTGTTTGAGGCTGCTGCAGGTGCCCCTCCCCTGGGCAGCCCACTCAGGAAAGCACCCCGCTGTGTAGACGAGACGAGGCCACAGCCTGCGCCAAATTCACGCTGTGAGGTGTATAAGAGGCTCCCGTTCTCTCCAGACATACACAAAAAAGATTCCCTTTGCACTCCTCCTCCGCCTGCCCTCCTCTAAAATTCAATCTTCCCATCTGTTTTCCCTCTCTCAATCACTTTTTGTCCCCTCCACACTTTCCGCCATGCCTACACTCTCATTCCTCTGCAGGGTTTCACCTTATATAAGGTTAGTGTTAAAGTCTCTTGGCGGACATTTGCATTATGAATATAAAAAACTTAATTCATCCCAGAATTAACATTAACTTATTCAACTTCTATCTTAAAGCATCTGTAACGTCACAGCAGCTTATATCAAACACAGTAATTCAAGTTTTACGATAACCGCACTTGTAGTCAACACAGCATTAAAAAAACAGTTTGTAATTGACAGCAAACACTGAAACCTAGGAGCTCACAGTGTTTCTTTGTTCAACCCATGGCAACCCTACCATGGGGCACCCTCCTCCCCATCACGTCCCCTGAATTCGCACCTCTGTGTCAGCCGCCAGGATCAGGCGAGACCCAGGCTTGCGTGCCTTGAAGGCCGGAGGTTACATCAACCGACATACACATTACGGTTCACACTTGGTCTCTTACTAGGAAAGACAGTAAATATGGCATGTCTGCCCCTCTCGCTCCTTGTCCCTCTCGCTGTGTTTCACCGTTTTCTCTGTTCTCCCCTGCCTCCTCCTCCTCCTCGCAGCACACTGCCCGTAAACAGTCATCCCCGTGAAGTCAGGCGTCAAAGCTCCCCTCACTTCTGACCTTCTGACACTTTACTCATCCAAACCCTGTGGTTTGTTCGTGTAGGGAGATCATGGCTGAGGAGGGACCTTATGCATTTCCATGACACGGTTCAATATGAGAACAAAAGTCTGTGTAGCCTATTATTTATTTGAGTTGAAATTATTAATCGATGAGTCAGTCAATCATCGTCAGTTGTTTCAGTAATTTTTCAAGCAAAAATACATTACCTAGTTCCAGCGATTAGATTTTCAGATTTTCTTTAGTCTTGGGTGACTAAAAAATATTTTTGGGTTCTAGACTGTTGCTCAGAGAAAAGCAAGACATTTGAACTAAACATTAGGAAATGTTAATGGGCATTTTTCACTATTTCTGCCATTTTTAGACCAAACGATTAATCGAATAATCAAGAACATAATCTGCAGGTTAACTGATAATGAAAATAACTGTTAGGTGCAGCCCTATTATGGATATGAATACTAATAGGACTATCTGCTTACTGTGCCAAAGATGCATTTTAAACAGGAAAGGCAGCTATGAGCGATTCCATTCAGTATAGTGTCAAAATAAAGAATTATAGCATGAAAGTGAGTTCCCTATGTATAAACAGGTTCAGTCAAACAGGTAAAAAATAGCAGTAGCATTTCCTTATCTGAGAGTGAGTAGTATGGCGTTTATGTCACAGTTAGAATTACAGTGCCACCTGCAGGTAAAACATAAGAACAATGACCAAATTATTACTTGCCCCCCATTCTTGTATATTTTCCCCTTTCTGTTCTTCACGGCTCCACACTGACAATAAATTTGTTTTCTTAATTCAATATGTAGCAAACAGAACTCAATCTGTTTTTGCATGCTGGCATAGTGCCTTTCTAAAAATGCCAAGTAACCATACACAGAAGGAGGACAGTGCCCATAAATTTTACTAGTATTAACATTAAATACAATAGCCAGATGTCTACCACTTGTACAGCCTCATGGTTACATTCTGATAGACGTGCTGTCCGTGTTCCTGGGTGGCAGCACATTGCAAGGAGACGCTGTGGACTGCATAGTTTTATCAACACTACTGAATACATGTAGTCTGATGTATGTTATAATTCCATACCTAAATGAGGTAATTTCTCTCTCCAGTGGCATTAATGTTGATAGTATCTGAACTTTCATGTTTTTCTTTCAGTGTCTGCATTTATTTTAACTACACCAGGTAGTAGTGACCCCAAGGATTAACTATATACATACATGCATGACAAATGTATGTACAGAGTTAGTTCTTTGGGTTTCTATTGCCGTAGTAACATAATAAAATGTATAAAAGATTTTATCAACAGCAGCAGGTAACAGTGATACAATAGCTGCACGTGTTCCCTGCTACACAACATGTTCTTCTCTTGTCTGTCTTTGCACTGACTGAACGTTCAGCTCGGGTGGCTCAGAAACTGACCCATCCCAGTAATAGAGTCCCCAGAGGGAGGACATCTCCCGTCCTGAGGGGTCATCACTGCAGAACAAGCTCTGTTCACCAAGTAAAGAGCAAATATCTTGAAAAGACATATTATTATAATTTCACTAT